CTCTCTCTCTCTCTCTCTCCAACGTTAGAGTAGAAAAACGTTGTCTCCCGCTGGGCTTTTGATAACACTTTGACACCATTGTGACGATGTTGTACCTGACGTCGGCCAGAGCATTTCTCGCGAAGGAGGTCCAAAATCGCAGCATCACTCAATCTGGTCGCCTTATGACGACTCAGCACGTCATTATTGTGCGTGGTGTGAAGGTCGTGTCCATGCTTGCATGCAGGTCGGTTGCACCTTCCCGTTACAAACATTCTGCAAGAACGATCAAGGTCAGGGTCCTGAACGCCTTACAAACAACAGCTTTAGCGCAACACAACGAAGAAGGCCACTGCTTCAAAGCGAACTGAATGCCAGGGGCATGCAGCCAAGGTTGGCTGTCGCCCATTTAACGGGGTTTAAGAATCTGGCCTGAAAGTGAACGGCGGACAGGGAGATAGGGTAAGCTGACATAAGAGGCTATTGTGTTTTCGAGCGGGCTTCATAAAACTTCCTGCTTCTACTTTTGTGATATAGACCCAACGTTCGATGGCTAGCATGTGCAGTTGAAACCATGACATGTGTGTCGAACAGCATTTTACCTGCAAATATGCAGCCTGTTGCAAAGAGGCTCCTGGCATGGGTTCGGTGAACCGGCTTTGTAGCAAACGTCCAGATATTTGTGACGGATTTCATCCGGCATGCGGCCAGTTTCTTGAAAGGCAAGTCGCAGCATTTGAACAGCCGCCAGCTCCCGGCTGGTGTCAAGTCCAAACCTGTTGCACACCACCTGCAAAACACGGCTCGAGATGATTTCGCGCACCTTTCCTCATAAACTGATGTCACAGCAAACTGACGTCACTGAGTGTACTGGCAGCAACCCGGACGACAAAGAATATAAGCCGCAGACATCACACATGACGTCATGCCCCTAGCTTTTGTGCCTTTTGGTATGTGCAGTGACGACAAACGACAACGACAAACATCCTGTACCGCAACTCGCGGAATTTTTGCCGGACGCGTGGAATCTTTTCATCACTTAAACGAAGTGAGAAAGACATGGCGCAGCAAGCAAGTCGCTTTACACGCCCACAACGTACAATGGTTGACAAAGGTGTGTTGTACGTTTCAAGTACGATAGATCGTAGTTTAAGTTGCCAGAAACACGGGATTACATACGGACATAAATGCTACTGTTTTACATGCATTGCTACGCAAGTTACGGGAATGTAAAGAGAAAAAACGGCGCACTTCGAACACGCCCCTCAAAGACTGTAACGTGGCACCACGCAGAAAAGGTCTTTCCCGGTGCGCTGCTAACTCACTACTGTTGTCCTCGTGTTCCCGCTCGAGCATTCATGCTGTTGTATTTACGGCATGAGGCGTCAAGGGATGCTACCGTCAAGCCTGGCAATTTCCTCGCCGCACGCAAAAAATTGCGGCGAGAAAATTGCACGTGCGCCGCACTCGCCTCACCTGGTTATGCACTGTGGTCAGCGAGTGTCCGTTGCGACAGGCGTCGCCGAACTTGCAGATGTCCGCCAGGAAGAGATGGCAGAGGTGCAGTCGGCGGCAGTTGGCGTCCACGCAGCCCTCGCGCGAGCCGTGGCGGGAGCAGAGCTCGGGCAGGCGGGGGGCCCGTGGGGCGGGCGGGGCTGGACGGGCGGGAGGGACGGACGGAGCGGGCGGGTTAAACGTGATGTGAGGCGTGACCCGGCGGCCCACAGTTGTTGCCTCCTGGATCACCGCCTGTCGCTCTCTGGCGGCGTTCAACGTATCCATCTGTTCAGCCCAGCGTTCCACGTGCGCTGCTGGCCCTTGCTGACTGCGATGATCTAGGCTTCCAGTGTCGCTGTTGGGCACCTCCCACTGGGTTGCGGTGCTGGCTTTGTTCCCCATGGCAGCCTGAAGTTGAAGATGACCTAAAACGAGGCAGGCGTGACCACCTTCCCGAGCAGACCGGTGCGGTGCTGGCAGTCTGTCCTTGTCCGTGGCACGCGCGTCAGTTGTCGTGCACTTGACGAACGTTGAGAGTCGGAAGACACGTGTGCACTGGGTCCAAGAAAACACCACAATTACTGTCTGTGGTCATCCAGAATTGAAATAATCGCAGACTCTGTGTAGCTCACATAATGAGAAGGCAAAGTCAGCAAGGCACGAGTATTGGAAACGGCCTCCGTAGAACGCGTTCCCGTCAAAATGCTCTTTGAAGGGAGTGTTCCGCATTTATATGGGATTTTGAACTGAAAGTTCAAAGTCCCATATAAGTCCAAAGTCCCAAGTCGTTCCCTGAATACCTGTCAGTGCTGTTTACAACCCTGCCCCTCTATTTTCTGAGCTGCACGACCGCGAAAATGGGGAAAGTGATACCGCGGAGAGTATTTCAAAATCATCTTGACATTCGTGTCGTCATAATAACGTCATTCAAATCCTGCCATTCGATAATCAATGCAATGATCAAGGCCAAATAATAAAATTATCGGAGCGTTTATACCTGGCGTTTGTGAGCACAATTTCCAGATATAACGGTGGTCAATTGGCTCTCAATCAATGTTGTGCAAGGTATGATGACGAAGTCAAACCATGGCGCATTACGGGACATATTAACTCAACAAAGAACTGTGCTGTCTAGAAGTCTTTTCCACCTAAAAGAGCATCAATAGTTGCAAGTGAACCTGTTCTATTACGTCTGATGTTTGCTTCGTTATCTTCAAATGTGAAACATTCCCTTTAAACAACCAGCAGTCATTAGAACAGCTTACGTAAAACGTTTGAAACTTTCTTGAAGAAAAATAAGCAATGTTCTGAAACATTTTTGCCGTTAGTCTCCAATTTTCAGTGAGGTGTTTGCTTTAAACTGTCCACTTGGTGTAAGTTGGGCTACTGGTGTGTCATGTCTAGGATGTGTCTTCTGTAACTAGTCCTCTTCCAGTACAAATAAAAATATGTTTGCGTCACAACTGTTGTGCTTGATAACACACCCTGGTTCTGCGAATATTTCAAAACTTAAAGGGTGTGTTCTACTTTTGTATAAGACTTGAAGCTTAATAGCTATCTTGATGATCATCCAGTGCAGTTCACAGCCCGCCCTTCTTAAAACCTAAACTACTCTAGTTTCAGAGCTACACGTCCGCGAAGATGTGCAGACTAATTCGGGGAGACTATTTCGAATTCAACCAGACATTCATGACGCCATAATAACGCCATTCACATCCTGCCTCCCCTATATCCATGTGGCGATGAAGGCCAAGAGATATATCATTGTCAAGTCATTCATATCCGGCGTTAGTGAGCACGATTTCCAGGTATGGCGGCCGTGAATTGGTTCTCAACCAATGTCGTGCCAGTACGATGACGTAATCAAGCAATGAAGCATTGCTTGGCATAGTTACTAAGCAGACATATTGTGTTGTCTTAATTAGTCTTTTCCATTAAAAAGTGTACCAATAGTTATAAATGACCTGATTTCATCATATCAGATGCTTGCATCGCTGCCTTCAAATGTGACACATTCTTTTCAAAGAATGGCAACAAATGCATTATTTCGCCCCCTTAAATTTTTACCTGCGAAAACCTGTCACATCCGGTCCAAAACCTCGCTAAAAGCCCGCGGCTTCCTGAGGGTCAAAAATTGGCGGGTTGGAGGGCTGACAACATTTTTCTCTTGTTTTATACTTCTATCGACCAACAACAGAGATCTAGGATATTCGTGGTCCCGTCCCTGCCCGTTTTCAGCAAATGTGCTCTGCGCCGCGTTCCCCATTGGCAAAGTATCTACATGAGTCACTACCTATGACGTCACAAGGACTACGTCACGCGTAAGCGACTATCTTCCAAGTGGATTGAGCAGTTGCAACGCACTTGTCTCTGATGTTGTAGGTTGTAGCTTGCGGATTACTGTTGGTAATGGGGAATGTGGCCCTGGCGGATTCGAGGCCCCTTGCCGACATGGCATCCTCTGTCCGGTAGTGATGGAACCAGACCGCGACAGGGAACCCTTTTGTTTCCAGAGCCCGACAAATGCAAGACGTCTTCTAAATTGCATGCCTGGACATCGGCCTTGTCCCCGTCCAAAGAATGAGTCCCCATACCGACAAGAAGCGGAATGCTTTATATTAGTGACCTCTGACCGACATTGACGACAGCGAGTTAGATAAACAAGCAAACGAATGGTGGCATCCATGTCGGTCAGAGACCACTTCTACTCAATATTCCGTGCCTTGTCGATATTGTAACACATTATTCACGCAAGGAAAGAGACAGGCACGACTCTAAAGCCCCTCCCCCCTCACACTTTTGGCAACACTTCTTCAGCTTTGCATCTTTTCTTTAAAAAAACAAACGCTGAAAATGACGCACCGAATGGTTTAAATGACATCTTCGTGAGCTTCAAACTATGCAGTCCCACCCCAACTATCCTGGCGGGGCGGCCAGCTGCACTCACCTTCCCACACGCCTCCTCACGCTGCGTCACAAATCAGGTCGGCCAGCGGATGCGTCGTTCTCCTCACACCGGGCACCTCAGACCCACCCCATCCACCGCTCGGCCGCGACTGATGCGCCAACAGCGGCCGACGGCGATCGGCGGGCGGCGGTATGTGCAGTCGCACGGGCAGCTCATGGCACGAGCACAGTCAGCTGACGTCGAGATTAACATGGCGGCGGCCCTGCGCCCGTCATCTGCGCGGCCCGGGAATCCCCGCCCAGGTGCTGTCAACGTCGCCTCGCGTGTCCCGTCAGTGTTAGTGCTACCTCGCGCTGAGCCATATTTTTCGGGCTGTGACTCAGGGCGGCTGTGACGCGGCTACAAAGCGGAAAGTGGCACGGGTCTCATACCGAGAGACGCTGCCACTAGGGGACCGCCGCAGACTGTGCCCCACTTGCCCCATCGACGTATCAGGGATGACGAGGGCTTGCAGGTGACCAGTGGAACCGAGCGGTTTTTGCGGCTTTCAAGGTCGGAGCTGGAAACCTTCAGACTCATGCGTAACTTATTGGGCTGGCTGACCATGACTGTTTCTTTGGCCTCGCGGGCTCTCGGTTTACGTGCTGGGCGGAAAGATGCTGCGGGGCAGACACCAGACAGCGACGAAGGACGCCTTTTGCAATACCACGCCGAGGCGATACCACGCCTTTTGGGCGTGGTATCTTATCACGACAATATGATGTGGTTGTCGATGGGCGCATGCAGCCTGACAGCCAAATACTTTGGTGGGCCCTGGCTAGAGTGGAGCGTAACAAAAGAGGCGAAAAGGAAAAATACGAACATCTCGTAATCTTGAATGGCCTGCAGCTGCCGTAGTGCCCTTGCCAGAACGCTGGCCGAGATTCTTACCAATTTTAGTGGTCTTGGGTTTGCAATTCAGCACTTTTCTTCGAACAATATGTCCCTCTCATGCCTGAAAGTCGACAGATCTTTACATCGACGGCTCATCTGAGCCTAATACATCGCAGCACTGAAAATTTTAGTCGAGCTTTATCAGAGGATCTTCGAAGCTGCTACAACTTGATTACACTATTTGCAACAGTTTCAAGATACTCTTAAATAGCGAATGTCATAACATGGCCCATTGGCTGGCAACTGACGGTGGAATGAGCAGCAGCAATGCAAAGATGGACTAATGAGCAGGAAGTCGTTTAGAGGACCACACCTGAGGTAGCAGTCCATATCCGTGCAGTAGCGTAATGACAACGACTATATCATTGCTCTGGTCTAGGGCTGACCCAAGGAAGGAACCTCACCTAGGGTAACGGTCCACGTCGGTGCAGTAGCGGGATGACAATAAGTGTATCATTGCTCATATTATTCTAGGGCTGGTCCAATGTAGGAGATTTGAACTAGGGTAGTGGTCCATATCGGTGCAGAAGCGAAGTGACAACAGGTGTATCATTGCTCTATCCTAGGGCAGGCTCAAAGAGGAGACTTCAGCTAGGGTAGTGGTCCATATCGGTGCAGAAGCGAAGTGATAACAGGTGCATCATTGCTCTAGCCTAGGGCACGCTCAAAGAGCAGACTTCAGCTAGGGTAGTGGTCCATGTCAGTGCAGTAGCGTAGTGAAAGCAGGTGTATCATTGCTCTATCCTAGGGCAGGCCCAAGGAGGAGACTTGAGCTAGGATAGCGGTCCATATCGGTGCAGTAGCGTAGCGACAACAGGGGCTGGCCCAATGAGATATCAAGTGCCGGCGGTTGTTGCATCGAAAGTTGAAAACACGCCGTTTCACGATACAAACATTTAGAAGAAATGACCTAAGGTTGGTAATGATTACACGATTAAATTCAAGACAAATCAGAACACATTTTAAAACGAGCTGCTTACTCGGCGTGACGAATCGCCCAGCTTTTGGTCGGTGAGATTAATCTCAAGTTACTGCGCATTGCGACTGCCCCGACCAGCTACGGAGTCATCTGATTATACGTGATGCAAGGACCTAATGAAACATGAACAGTCCGGACGTGTAATAATCCACCTTGACGTGTATTCCACCTTGACGTGCAATCCAGTAGGACGTGTAATCCACCTTGACGTGCAATCCAGTAGGACGTGTAATCCACCTTGACGTGCAATCCAGTAGGACGTGTAATCCACCTTGACGTGCAATCCAGTAGGACGTGTAATCCACCTTGACGTGCAATCCAATAGAACGTGTAATCCACCTTGACGTGCAATCCAATAGGACGTGTAATCCACCTTGATGCATCACATCTGACAGGTTCAGATGTGGTGCAACTCTGTGAGCCTGTTTCATCACAGCTGATGCTTGCTTCAATTTCTTCAAATGGGGAACATTCCCTTGAAGAATACCGCCATAACCGAGTGTGTGAATGTAAGCAACACAACACATATGCACAAACACCACGATAAAGGCCACAACACGCGCATATGACGATATTTCAAGAGACATAAGATGTCTCCCGAAACCATACGTGACGCCCGGAATTGCTAGACATGATGTTATCAGGTTGTTTCACAAACACCACGATAAAGGCCCCAACCGAAGCCAATTGCTAGGATCGATCTCACTTTCTGGATTATTTGGCCGCACTTCGAAGATCGCCATTCGGATCCATGCACTCTCAACTTCGGGTATATATGACGTCAACAGAGATGAGCCGGCGGCATCACCTCGGTTTCTGCCGATTCATTGGGCGTGGGGAAAAGCGGCGCACTACACGCGTAAAAAAATCAGACTGATTTTACGCTCCGCACTGCACTCCCCAGCCCATAGCATGCGTCAGCTGGCTTGTCGGGCTGGTCGGGTGTGACAGCACGAGCGCCGGCGGCGGGGCCGGTTCCTGCCGCCGCGGCTCCCTTATCGCCCTGCCCCTCCCCCCGCGGCGCGCGGTCAGCGGACCGGGCGGCGCCGACGCGGCGACCCCCTCCCCAGTGCACGGTGCGCAGCGTGCTGGCTCGCGGCGCGCGCGGGAACCAACGGGCCTGTCCCGGGACAGCCGTGCCCCTCCCCTGCCGCTGACGTCACAGCGAGTCGAGGGGATGCCGTCGGGGGCAGAGGTGACGCCGCCGGGACCCGATGACGGCGACTGGTCGGCCCGGCGTCTGCTGCAGCCGCCAGAGCTGGACCGGGAGCCGGAGCAGGAGCTGGAGCAAAACAGCGCCAGCGGCCAGGGAAGCCTACGCCTGCCCGACGGCGTAAAGCACGTGCCGTTCTCGGGCCTGAACATTTCTTCAGGCGTCAATGGCGTCACATACCAGCACACGGTCGGTGGGTTCGACAGCACCGGCGACACGCCCGTCATCAGGTGGGGCACGCGGCAGCAGCCGAGCGGCCTGCTATGGCTCCTCTCATGGAAAGGTCCGGGGTTCAACTCCCGCAAAATGCTCCACGGTAATAACGCTGGATGTTCTGTACGGACTGGGTCAGTGTACGTTAGCGAGCCGTGGCAAGCACGCAGCGTGTATGCTGAAGTGGTGTCGGGTGGCGTGTTAAAGTCATGGGCGTGTTTCGGGTGGCGCAGTGCGGCAGTTAGTTGGCGTCATAGACGTGTTTCAGGTGGCGCGGGGCGATGGTTAGCGTCATGGGCGTGCAGGCCGCGCCGGTGTTCAGTTTGCTGTGCAGTGATCACAGGTCTCCGACCGTAAAACAGCTCTCAAATTCATCATTTGAGCTTCGTTAACAGTCATCAGGTTGCGTGATGTACTTCATGTCACGTGATGTGTAATAAGGGTGCAGCCAGAATTTGCGACCCGGAGAATGAGTACCAGAATTGGAGACCAGGCCTAAGATTTAATAGAACCCGCTCCTAGCTCCATTCGTGGTACCCACTCACTTTGGATAGACTACTTATGGAAGCCAAGACATCAACAGGCAAAGTACTAAGTACTAATATCAATGGACTTTCTGTGCTGGCCTTGCCTTGGCGCTGAATACAGTTGTCCAAGCTCCGTGCCATACGTATCTGTTAAGTTATTTGCTGACCTGGTCAGTTGTCACTGACCCTATCTCTATTGTTGTTGGATTACTTTTTGGATGCAACATGCCACTGTCCCTGAAAGTCAGTGTGATGCAAAGCCAAAACAAGTTTGGTGACCGCCAGATTGCTGAATTACATTACAAAGCGCCATACTGGAAAGGACTACCCAGCCGTGATGGCGGAGCTGCAAAACTTCGCCCCCACCCTTCCCACCCACCCCCACTCCCCCAGAAAAGGAGCATACGGATGACGGAGCGGCACTGGCAGGTCAGCAGTCAGATGAAAACAGAAAATAACATATGCCAGTAGCTCACGCCGGTACAAGTTTTGTTGTAAAACTACTCAGATTAAGGGGAACTTAGAAAGGCGCCGTTTCACGGTCTGCGCTGTCAAATATGTCACTCGCGGGAAAGAAAGCGTCACTGCCGCGTCCATACATAAAAAGCGATCGACATTGAACTTCCTTGTCATTACCTTCAACTTCTGTTAATGACAAATAATAGCCGGATAGCATTTGAGGATCAAGTAGTAGCCACGCCATGTGGAGGGCACGAACAAACAAGAGTGTAAATATATGCAACGCATTACCGGTCCACGCCATGTTCGGCCACGTTTTGCTTCGACGTGGCCTAGCTTACAATAATGTCCATCGGCCTGACATGGCTTGGAGCCCGAAATTCCCCAGCGCCCATGAAAACGGTTTTGAAATAAAGTGACTAAGATGTCAGAGAATAGTGCGAAACACTCTGAAGGTATCCTAACACGTGTCACGGAACGCCGCCTGGCCGCTCCCAGTCCGCGGCATCGGCTCGACCGGGTCAGCAGCGCCTGTCATGCAGCACAACGTGATTCCGGCGTATACGGGGCTTCAAGCGGGGCCAACGATCTGGCTGCACCACTCCCTGCACTGGGAGGGTCCTATGCGTATTGAAATTTGGGATCAAGGGTCGTAAGCCGGATCTAACGGGTCTAACGGATCTAACAGGTCTTACGGATCTGACGGGTAAGCCGGATCTAACATCAAGTTCTTAGTATCTACCGCAGAGCCCTATATTATGCCCTATACATGAAGATCACACAGCCTGGTAATAGCCGGCCTTACTCGAACATATCGTAGCTTTCACCAAGCTTCATGGTAAAGCGCTGCACAGCTCTTGAGCGGTTACGCTTTGTTCACACAGCCGGTCCACCTGTGCGCAGAATGGCATCTCGCCCTGGCTTTAAATTCTGCGGCAGCATATCAAATAACGGTTTTTTAACCCTTGCTGGGCGAGAGGGCCTGCTGTTTACTCACCTTCCAAGTGGCGCATTTGAGCTTGCAAGAAAGCGGAACATAATAGTGTGGCCATGTTGGGTAGACCTGTTGACACACCTATTATTACAGGTATTATAAAACATTACAACTACTGGCACAGTGCATATTTACGGCACAAAAATGTCTCAGGACACTTCAGGTCAATGATAATTTTCATACTGGTGTACAGTTATTGTTCCCGAGCGCACAGGCTGCTCTGGATAGACCAACAGGCTTTCCAAGGTCAAGTGATGTACCAGGTAAATGGCGTGCTTCATTAACATTTGTGCTGATGTAAACCAGTTTCCTCTGTACTCGATTTTTAAGATCACTATGAACCCGTATAGCTTGAAAAATAGCGTTTCTGTTTCGCAGAGCCATTGCTTGGATCACAACTGATTTTGGTACTCTTGATCTGGAAGGCTGCTCATCCCGGAGGGTCCGAACCAGACACTGTTGGGCCACCCAATTATCAACATATCAACCGGTTTTTGCTCGCGATCCTAGTCCAGTTAGGAGCAAAGTGGCAAGGCACAGGTATGCGTGTACATACATGCGCGCCCGCCAACATTTGCCTGGCGTGTGAGTGAAAATATCTCCGCCGGGAGCGGGTTAAAAAGAACCTGTCGAATTATCGAACGCTGTACCCCGCCAGGAGCGGGTTAAAAAGAACCTGTTTAACTATCGAACGCTGCACCCTGTGATCTACAGCACGAGATGTGTGGCAGAAATAAAACGATCAGGGCATCACAGAGCATCGGCGAAGGCTCACAAATATCTACCACGAAGGTTTTACCACATGTTGTAACACCCTGTTGTATCACCACGCAGCACTGCCGGCATATCCGTCTTTGGGATGAGGGAGGGGTAAACGCTGAACCCCGCGTCGGCCAAGTGCCCATTTCCAAAACCAGGACCATGCTGAGGCCTGCGATTGCCGGTCAGGGGACCCTTTGCATTGGTCGGGGTTCCTAAGACAATGAGGGACCGCTGTGTTGGTCTGTTGTTCAAGGGGCAGGGGTCCGCCTGACGCCTGAGGCCAGTACGCCTGACAGGGGACCATATTTTGGCAGGGACCCCGAGTCGACTGGGATTCCGTTTTTATGGAGACAGGAGAGGGGACTGATGCATGATGCATCCCTCTGGGCCCTCCCCCCCCCCCCCCCTGCGGCCGTCCGGCCCGGCCACCGTGTCTTTAGAATGGTAGCCGGCAAGTGCCCCGGATGGTGGGTTAGAATGGAAATCCCTTGCATCCTTGACCGAGAAAGGCAGTGGACCCCTAGTGTCCCTCTTATGGGGTCATCTGTCCGCAAAAGGTAAGGATTCTCCATAGTGCTGAATCTCCCGGGCCCCTCAACGAACGCATTTACCGGCATAATGATGAAAAATTTAGAAAGTTTAGCCACTCGAAATTAAATGAGCAAAATTTGGTGATTTTTTGGGATGCCTTTTTACTGAGAGCCTATGACAAAGCTGTGTACCTCCCACACCCCTTTTGCCAAAACTGTGGCCTCTACCCTGGTATAAGATGGAGCTTGATGGAGCTTGTGGGATCTGATATATGCTCTTCTCGGGTTTAAGATGGGCCATTTTCGGCCCTGAGATCCCGCTTTCTCAGTCAAAAATATGCCATTTCGTGATTTAAGATGAACCCTTCTGGAGTCTACGATGGTCCCTTTCCAGACCTGAGAGGGTCCTTTATGTGCTCACGATAAGTCTCACCCAAACCTGGGACGGACCCCGATAAGTTTACGATGGACTTGTCCTGATCAGAGACGGGTTCTTCTGAGTCTGCAATGGGCCCTTTCAGACCGGAAGGAAGCCTTCCTGTGCCTGAAACGGTTGTAGGTGTATTTCCTGCCTTAAAACTGACCTTGTCTGGACCTGAGACGAGCTCTCCACGCTTACAATGATGACACACAATAAACCTATAGCTTCCAAAAACCTGACGGGGGCCCATTTTGGCCTCCTGAAATCTGGGAGAAGAGATAGTTTTGACCTTAGTCTCATATTCGGGGACAGTTTGCTCGGCGGATACGCCGCCACGGATTTTCTGAGCCTACGATGGACCCACTTCAAACCAGAGATGGGCTTTTTTGGGGCCTTCCCAGGCCCAAAAAGTGAGATAGACTTTTTCCGAACTTCAAGTTATCCGTTTTTTTTAAGCCTATCTTGGTTCCCTATCTAACTTGAGACGAGCCCTTTCCAGACCTGAGAAGAGCTTCTCTGAGCCTACGATGGACCCTTTTCCCGACCTGAGACGTGCCTTTTTGAGCTTACGATGGGTACTTTCGGGACCAGACATGGGCCCTACCGTGCATGGAAGTGTCACGAGAGTTTTCCCGTGTTCGCATGAGCCATTTCCAGCCTAAAATAGACCGTTCACGGACAGAAAACGATACCCTTGTGAGCTAAGCCCTCACTCTGATAGGGGGGGGGGGGGGGGAGCGATGCGGCCCCTCCGCCGTAAACTTTTTCGAGGATACATCTCCTACATGCTGTGCAATTGGGCTCGAATTCTCAGTAGTCTTTGAAGCACCGATTGCACGTGTTTTACACCACAAACGGCGGTTTTTGATGAGAACCGCAGGATGATCTACGGTCTGCGCGGGCGGCGGGCGGCAACCAACGATGACACGGAACGGGCCGGCATTGTTATATTCGTGGAGTCATGCATCATTAGTAGATGGTCAAAACATATAAAACGATACACCATTGTATTTAAAGTGGTACGAGGCACACGTCTGTTTAGGTTTTGTGACGCTACATGGTATGACATCGTATGCACGATATTGTAAAATTGAAAAGTTTGATTTGCAGGAAATTTGTTCTCGCATATTTTTCCGTGAGTTTAAGCTCTTGAGTTTAAGTCGTGCTTACGAACGCCATATGCGATCGAACCAACGATTATATTCTTATTGGGCTCTAACGCCTCGTGGCCAATGGGATGGTAAGATGTGAACGCCGTTTTTATAGTGTTATGCATGCCTGAATGGCCATTATATAGTGCGCACGAAATATTTTTCATATCTTCGCAGGCGTCTAGCTCAGAAACTAGACGGTCTTTGGCCTTAGGAAGGGCAGTGCTGTGAACGCACCGAATGATCTTCAAGATGGCTATTTCATTTCAAAGCCCGTACAGATGGCTGGGGTTTTCCCACTCCCTTCATCATGCGACTTTACCGGACCAACATGGCTCCCTGCGCTAGCTTTCATAATACAAAAAGCAAGTACTGCCACATACCCGAAGACCACTTCTGGGCCACCTGAAATTATGGCGGGGCGGGGGGGGGGGGGAGCAAGAAATAGCTTTACTCCGACCTCAAAACGGGAAGAAGTTTACTCCGACCTCAAAACATGGGTGGGCAGTTTGCTCCTGCTGACACCCCCCCCCCCCCTTCCCCTGATACGCTGACTGCCACGCGCACGAGCGCAACGGTAGACAGGATGCATGGCAGAAGAAAATGTTCGCGGTTGTTTATCACGCAAATTGGTACCTGTGTGGCTATTCGGTGAAGTTCATTGGCTAATCACGTATGCATGCATGTCTTGCCCTCAGGATTATCAGGCCTTAGTGACACAAATCACACGGATTATGTTATACATTGCATCAGGAGCAATAGCAACATACACAGTAGAGGAGGCACGCCAGCGGCGCTCAGGCTGGTACTAAGCGCTAATTCCGCTACTCATGGTCCTTTGCGCGCGTGACACACACAACACGCCCTCCTAATGATGAAGTCCACCCGCCATGCAATGCCTTCACCTTACGCATGTAGCAGCCTGCCAAAGGCGAGCACCCGGCCTCCCGCTGCGGTGTTATCGGAGCGGCACGGCCGAGCGGTGGTCAGCATCCCCCCGCCCCACCCCCTCCCTCCAGCGGGACAGATAAGATACACCCCGTCGGCGGTGGCCCGTGCCAGCTCGGAAGAAGCTCTGCGGGTACCGAGAGCTCCCCCTCCCCGCCCCCACCCCCGCCCGGCACTGCAGACGATAACCAGCTGTCACCGAGTGGGTCGCGCACTGCAGGACAGCATGCCGGCCTGGGAGAGAGAGAGAGGGGGGGGGGGGGGGGTCCTTTGGCGAACCTATCACGAAGTATTTATTGGTCGTGATCGCGGCGAAAGGTGGCGTCTGGTGGACCGTTCTTTGGCAGACGGTACATCTATTGCATGGATGCATCATTAAATGGATGGATCCATAGCATCACGCTTCAGACAGATGCATAGCATGCATAGCATAGATTATGGCTGAAATCCCGGAAATATCTTTGAGATAAGCTGGAAGTGGCAATACCCAGATGATTGTAGAGGACATCACAGCTAAAATTTTCTTAACCCAATCCACTCCTTAGCAATGAGTTTGCGCCTGTGGCGGCCTGTTCGACATCCCTGGCTAGCCATGCCTATGCGTTACACACCCGTTGGTATTCTCCCACATCATTTATTATAAGTTACTGATGGTATATAGGAGCGTTTACATCCAACCCTACTCGTTTACGAGAAAAATTGCAGATATGGTGTGAATAAAGCTAATTCTTCCGACACGAAGCACGAGCAGTAACGTTGTGAAGTATTTTCTGGAGCATTTTCTCGAAATTTCGTAAATGTCTTGCCCATTCCAATGCCCATACTTTTCTCCGAAATGATACCAACCCAACTTGCTACCTGTATCGCATGGGCACCTGTTACATGGATGAAAAACTTCCCATTGATAGGATGTGATTCTGATAGTTTATAGTTTTATAGGATAGTTTTTTCAAAGACTGAGAAAACGATTGACCTCCAATCTTTGGTTCGTGTTCTGCTTCAGCTCATAACTGAACTACGGGAAACGATTCTGAATCAAGTGGTTATAACTTGATTCAACTCTGTCTTGATTCCCAATTCGGTGTGGCTATTGAGTTGGCTCTGGTTCTACATCGACTCGAGTGCAAACTTGCTACCCGCACATGCTGCGGTCTTGTGGCTCAACCGGCAGTCTCCTCTTCCTGCAGGGTGCGCAACCGGATGAGCACGCGCAAGCTGCGCAAGCGGGTCGTTTTTAAGAACGGAGACCTGAACGTGGTACAGGGCAACCTCTCGAAGCGGAGGCGGCGCTACTTAGCCGACATCGTCACCACGCTGGTGGACATCAAATGGCGCTGGACGCTGCTCATCTTCAGCCTCAGCTTCGTCCTCAGCTGGCTGCTCTTTGCCGTACTCTGGTGGCTGATCGGCATCGCGCATGGCGACTTCGAGAAGGACAACATCGAGGACCCCGACTGGCACCCCTGCGTGCTCAACGTCAAGGACTTCACCGGCTGCTTCCTCTTCAGCCTGGAGACGCAGCACACGATCGGCTACGGCTACCGCTACATCTCGGACCAGTGCACGGAGGCGGTGATCCTGCTCTGCGTGCAGAGCATCGTCGGCCTCGTCATCCAGGCGCTGATGGTCAGCATCGTGTTCGCGAAGCTGGCCCGGCCGAAGAAAAGGGCGCAGACGCTGCTGTTCTCGCGCAGCGCCGTCATCTGCCAGCGCGACGGCAGGCTCTGCCTCATGTTCAGGCTGGGCAACATGCGCACCTCGTCGCTGATCGGCGCCACGGCGCGCGGCCAGATCATCCGGAAACGGGTCACCCGAGAGGGCGAGACCCTCCAGTTCGACATGGAGGAGCTCAACCTCGGTCAGTGGACGGCTGCAGTGGCGGCTGTTGGGGATGCTTGTGGGAGCGGTGAGACCAGCAGCGCGAATGTCAGTACCAGTGGCAGCTGAGACATCTGGTATTCTGTCGCAGTCGACACATGCGCGGTTACAGTCGAAACAGTGCGGAACAGTAGGTGCTTTAGCCGCAGTCGAAAATGTCACACCACATTCTCTCTCTGAAATGGGTTCAGTGGAAGTTATGATGTTTCGATAATGCAATAGTTACAGGGAATACTAGTGCAACAGGCGGGTTATATTAGAATGGTGACAGACACGCGCAAATAACCATTGCAGTTGACACGCCCTTAAAATCTTATAACTAGAACGGAGACAACAGGTACTGCACGAATCACATTCGTCGTGTCTATCGCGGCATTAACTGCACGAGTGATGTAGAACTCTCAGAGTGCCTTCTCCACAGCGCGATTTGAGTTAGTTTGGGCTTTGGATACTTGCCGCTCATTGCCCCATCAATCGTGTTACTTGTTGTCGTGGTCAACTTCTCCGTATAGGTATAACTTCTCTCATGGCGGTGCAAAACGTGCAGCAAGCCTGCTTTCTTCACCAAAACAGGCTTTGTTGGCAACGCGTTCACTTCCCTATGGCACGTGCCTCGTCTTGCGTGATGGCTTCTTGGTCGGTGTGACAAATGGCGCCGCCGGCCGGCAGGTCCTGACGACGGCCAAGACAGCATCCTCTTCATCTGGCCGCTGAACGTGGTAGCACACGATTGACGAGCGCTCGCCGCTGTACCACATGTCAGCCGAGGACCTGCTGCACAAGGAGCGTTTCGAGATCGTAGTTATGTTGGAGGGCACCACCGAGTCCACAGCCATGACGACCCAGGCGCGCAGCAGCTACATCCCCAGTGAGATCCTCTGGGGCCACAGGTGAGGACTGCAGCTGCTGTACGCCCGCAGTGAGATCTTCTGGGACCACAGGTGAGGACTGCAGCTGCTGCACGCCTGCAGTGAGATCTTCTGGGGCCACAGGTGAGGACTGCAGCTGCTGTACGCCCGCAGTGAGATCTTCTGGGGCCACAGGTGAGGACTGCAGCTGCTGTACGCCTGCAGTGAGATCTTCTGGGGCCACAGGTGAGGACTGCAGCTGCTGTACGCCTGCAGTGAGATCTTCTGGGGCCACAGGTGAGGACTGCAGCTGCTGTACGCCCGCAGTGAGATCTTCTGGGGCCACAGGTGAGGACTGCAGCTGCTGTACGCCTGCAGTGAGATCTTCTGGAGCCACAGGTGAGGACTGCAGCTGCTGCACGCCTGCAGTGAGATCTTCTGGGGCCACAGGTGAGGACTGCAGCTGCTGTACGCCCGCAGTGAGATCTTCTGGGGCCACAGGTGAGGACTGCAGCTGCTGTACGCCTGCAGTGAGATCTTCTGGAGCCACAGGTGAGGACTGCAGCTGCTGTACGCCTGCAGTGAGACTTCTCTGGGGCCACAGGTGAGGACTGCAGCTGCTGTACGCCTGCAGTGAGATCTTCTGGGGCCACAGGTGAGGACTGCAGCTGCTGTACGCCCGCAGTGAGATCCTCTAGAACCACAGGTAAAGACTGCAGCTGCTGTACGCCTGCAGCGAGATCCTCTGGAGCCACAGGTAACGCCATCTGAGTCGTGTGACTGTGCTGATTATCTGGGAATCCGGCTCAAGGCACTCATGCCTCATTGCTCCACTGCGCGCACACGCCGTGGCTGACATGTTCATGCGAACATGATGTAAAACGCTGTTCTCAGGCGCACCGCTGCAAATTTGTGTACATCAACGTCCCAACACCCACGGACATGTCACGCCTTGTTGAAAATATCCCGTTCTGTTGCGAACCAGTCAGTTTGAAATATAGAATGTGGACAGAGGATCTAAATGGCCCATGCTCAAGAATGAGGGCCGACAGATCAGGTCTCCTTGCGAAAGACTGAGAGAAAAATCCCGCCGCAGTTCGACAGTAATGCAAGTAATGAAGCTTTCCCCTCCGGCACATATTTAGTGGATTGGAGATCCGGGACAAGCTTTCCTGTAGTTCCCTCTGCCAGAGACGAACAACTGCAGTGCCGACCGACAAAGCCTGTGTCCGGTGACCCCGGCCCGACAGTATCTGTGCCCAGTGACCACTGACCCCTTGGTAGGTGTCCGGTAACCCCGGCACGACAGTACCTGTGCCCGGTGACCACTGTCCCCATGGTGGGTGTCCGGTGACCCCCGGCCCGACAGTACCTTTGCCCAGTGACCACTGACCCCATGGTGGGTGTCCGATGACCCCCTGGCCCAATAGTATGTGTCCGGTGACCCCTGGCCCGACAGTACCTGTGCCCAGTGACCACTGGCCCCATGGTGGGTGTCCGGTGACCCCCGGCCCGACAGTACCTGTGCCCAGTGACCACTGGCCCCATGGTGGGTGTCCGATGACCCCCGGCCCGACAGTACCTGTGCCCAGTGACCACTGGCCCCATGGTGGGTGTCCGGTGACCCCCGGCCCGACAGTGTCTGTGCCCAGTGACCACTGGCCCCATGGTGGGTGTCCGGTGACCCCCGGCCCGACAGTACCTGCGCCCAGTGACCACTGACCCCATGGTGGGTGTCCGATGACCCCCTGGCCCGACAGTACCTGTGCCCAGTGACCACTGACCCCATGGTGGGTGTCCGGTGACCCCCGGCCCGACAGTACCCGTGCCCAGTGACCACTGACCACATGGTGGGTGTCCGATGACCCCCTGGCCCAATAGTATGTGTCCGGTGACACCTGGCTCGACAGTACCTGTGCCCAGTGACCACTGACCCCATGGTGGGTGTCTGGTGACCCCTGGTCCAAAAGTGTGTGTCCGGTGACTCCTGACCTGATGGTGTATTTTCGGTGGCCCCCGGCCCGAAAGTGCGTGTTAGGTTACACCTGACCCGACATCCGTGGTCGGCAGATTCGAGCCCATTATCAACTTCAAGAAGGACACGGGCACCTATTCGGTGGACTACAGCCGCTTCAACAGCACGTACCAGGTGGACACGCCGCTGTGCAGCGCCGCAGAGCTGGACCAGTTCCGGCGTCAGCAGACAGAGAGCGCCCAAAGTGAGTCCAACCAGCAGCGGGAACCCTCTTCCAGATAGTGCACGACGTAGTGCGCACTGGACTGACCTGAAGTGTTCCACATTTTGATCGGGTTTTGAACTGAAATCGCCATCTTGAGATCATTCGGTGCAGTTTAAAGCCTTGTCCTTCTTAAGACCCAAACCATTCTAGTTTCTGAGCTAAACGTCCGCGAAGATGTACAGACTATTTCGGGAGACCTTTTTGAGGTCGCCCAGACAACCATGACGTCATAATAACGTTCAGACAACCATGACGCCATAATAACGTCATGACGTTCAGCTGACGAGAGTTCAGCTGACGGTTGAGCTTTGGGCGGCTCCGTGTTTAAGGCAGTTTTATTAGTGCTTTTTTTGTACCCGGGTAGTGTTATCTGCATTTAAAATCGTGCAGGAATGAAGTTTAGCTTCGTGGCCGCTGGACATGACATTGCTGTTTAATATTTGGACTGCTCTGGAATATTAAAAACGGTGAGTTTTTGTGAAATCGGACGCAAAGGCTACTACTTTTTTAGCCAGAGAAGACTGATCAAAATTTACTTAGAAAACGTGCTGGCGCGACGCTGTCACTTCGTTTTTTAAGATAGGCCAATTTGGTTAATTGCAAGCCTTTAAAGAATGACCAAAATGGAAACGGTGGAATGGCGCAACCAACTTAAACTGCTGCAAAACCAAGTAAACAGCCAAGAAGAAATGATTAATTGTCTGACAATGCAGTTAGCCGAAATGATCATTGTGTTTAAGGATATACAGGCAGAAAAGAAGAAAAGGATGGTTGATGGCCAATATGCAGGACTGAAAGACGTTCAGTTTGCTGTAAAACAAATTGACCACGATCTTGACTTTCTGAAGCGGCAACACAGAAATTGTGAAGACCAAACAAAAACCATTAATGAGCTGGGAGTTTTATGCGGAGCCGCCATGGTAGCTGCTGGGAGTAAGTTAGGTGCTGAAATGCAGGCAAGACATGCAAGGATGAATTTAGACAATGCAAGTACACCAAAGCGCGACAATGGACCGTATGTCGCAAGAAAACTAGAAGTGACCTCCACCGTGGAACTTGAATCAAAGGTAAACGAAGGTGGAAAAAACGAAGGAGGCACAAGAACATGTGAGAAGGAAAGGAGTGGTAGCCCAGTTGCTGAAGAAGCCGAACCAAGCAGGCAACTCACTCGGGGTGCTTATGGAAAAGAAAACAACAAAGGGCGTTGACTAAATGTAAAGAGGGTAAGTGCATACAACCGAGCATAGATAAGCGCCAATACGGAAATATGAAAGGTGTCTCAACGTCACACCATCTAATTAGGTTGTTGCATGATTTGCTGACGGAGTTAGACGAAGCAGACACATTATTTTCTATGGTTATGTACGATTTTAAGAAGGGATTTGACTTCATTGATCACACAACAGTTATCCAGAACATGCTTGCAATGGGACTTCGCTCCGGGTATGCAAAGTGGCTTTGCTCATTCTTGCAGGATCAACAGAAGCGGGTCAGGATGCCAATGGAACCATGAGTCGTTGGAGAACCATAACATGCGGCACTCCGCAAGGCACCTTAGTTGGCCCGGTTGCTTTCCTGGCTATGGTTAACGGTGCCGCTGCTGATATTGACAACCAACTTAGGTATGTAGACGATCTTACCATATACCAGGCGTGTCAAATTGACCAAGCAGATCGGCACTGCCAGTTGCAAGAGCACACTGACCAGATAAGTGATTGGGCAACGGCAAACAAGATGATATTGAACACTGACAAATGTCAAGTCATGCATTTTTTTCACGGCTAAAAAACCATTAGCACTACCGGGCACCATGATTCAGGGAAAAAAACTACCAACTGCCATCAAAACTAAGCTTTTAAGTGTGACAATATCAAATGACATGTCATGGCAAGCACATGTGGATGATATTGTAACTAAAGCATCGAAAGCTTTATATATGCTCTACATAATGAAGAAGTACCATCCACCACAAGAACAGCTGGTTCGTGTGTATGTTACTTACATCCGGCCGCTGCTAGAATATTGTGCACCGGTTTGTCACGCGGGACTCACTGCCAAGCAGGCGCAACATCTTGAGAAAGTGCAGAAGAGAGCCTTGAAAATCATCTTCGGCCATTCTGAAAAGTTCTCGCACATCTTGCAACGCATGGGCATGGAAACCCTCGCTGACAGAAGAGAAAAGCTATGCCTAAGGCTAGGAAAACAAATGCAAGCGTCTCCCATGCATAGAGATCTGCTTCCGAAGCAGCGAGTGGCGATCTCCGGCAGAAATACCAGGAGCGCAAGCACACTCCAAACGTTTTGCTGTGGTACGCGACTACGCAGATAAAGTATTCCCCATATAACCACTCTTATAAACACAGATATATTGTCAACTAAGTACTGTCCTGCTTCATATGTATATTGTGGACATGTGCTATATGAGTTGATACTCGAAGCCATGCTTTTGTCAATAAACCGTCTCTCTCTCTCTCTCTCTCTCTCTCTCTCTCTCTCTCTCTCTCTCTCTCTCTCTCTCTCTCTCTCTCTCTCTCTCTCTCTCTCTCTCTCTCTCTCTCTCTCTCTCTCTCTCTCTCTCTCTCTCTCTCTCTCTCTCTCTCTCTCTCTCTCTCTCTCTCTCTCTCTCTCTCTCTCTCTCTCTCTCTCTCTCTCTCTCTCTCTCTCTCCTCTCTCTCTCTCTCTCTCTCTCTCTCTCTCTCTCTCTCTCTCTCTCTCTCTCTCTCTCTCTCTCTCTCTCTCTCTCTCTCTCTCTCTCTCTCTCTCCTCTCTCTCTCTCTCTCTCTCTCTCTCCTCTCTCTCTCTCTCTCTCTCTCTCTCTCTCTCTCTCTCTCTCTCTCTCTCTCTCTCTCTCTCTCTCTCTCTCTCTCTCTCTCTCTCTCTCTCTCTCTCTCTCTCTCTCTCTCTCTCTCTCTCTCTCTCTCTCTCTCTCTCTCTCTCTCTCTCTCTCTCTCTCTCTCTCTCTCTCTCTCTCTCTCTCTCTCTCTCTCTCTCTCTCTCTCTCTCTCTCTCTCTCTCTCTCTCTCTCTCTCTCTCTCTCTCTCTCTCTCTCTCTCTCTCTCTCTCTCTCTCTCTCTCTCTCTCTCTCTCTCTCTCTCTCTCTCTCTCTCTCTCTCTCTCTCTCTCTCTCTCTCTCTCTCTCTCTCTCTCTCTCTCTCTCTCTCTCTCTCTCTCTCTCTCTCTCTCTCTCTCTCTCTCTCTCTCTCTCTCTCTCTCTCTCTCTCTCTCTCTCTCTCTCTCTCTCTCTCTCTCTCTCTCTCTCTCTCTCTCTCTCTCTCTCTCTCTCTCTCTCTCTCTCTCTCTCTCTCTCTCTCTCTCTCTCTCTCTCTCTCTCTCTCTCTCTCTCTCTCTCTCTCTCTCTCTCTCTCTCTCTCTCTCTCTCTCTCTCTCTCTCTCTCTCTCTCTCATAATAACGTCATTGAAATCCTGCAGTTCCATTGGCCGTTCGGTGATCAATACCAAACGAAATATGATTGTCGAGTCGTTGATGTCTGGCGTTCGCAAAAGCTTTTTCATATATGTATATATATATATATATATATATATATATATCAAATACGGCCGTCAATTGGCTCTCAATCGGTGCTGTGCAAGGGACGGTGTCGTCATCAAACGTTGACGTGGTGAGAAGCATATTTGCCAAACGGAGAAACTGCGTTGTTCAGGGCAGCCCTTTCCACTGAAGATTAAACCGATAGCTGTAAGTGACCTTATTTTATCATATGTGATGTTTTCTTCCACGTTTTCAAATGTAGAACATTCCCTTTAAGGTGGGCAGCGTTGTAGTCTACCGCGCGGATGGAGGCGGTGTCCAGAGCGGGGGCCGTGGTAGGTCTCGGCGCCAGCGTAGCTGCACAGCAAAATCAACTTAAGTTGGCTGCTAAATACCATCAAAGTCAAGCATGAACTTGGTTCCGAGCTTATTTATGGCTAGCCGCCTAATCCATGTGATGAACTGATGACCAATGACTGATGGCTAGCGCAGGATATTTACTTTGTCTGAAGGAATACAAGTATCCTAGCACTCAAAATGTATTGGTAACGTGATGCACGAGTAAAACAAGTGTCACAAGTTTACTAACCAACAGAAATGTCACATACGACGTCGGCGGCACGTAAAATTATGTTCGGCAGTTGCGCATAAGAATTCATCGGCGCAGATCCACCTATTGCTCTGAGACTAAGGCATCAAGGCCAATGAGGACGGCACCTGAGCGATCGGGGGTGCCGCGGAAGGCCAACAAAGAGGCCCCCGTCAACATCGTCGACAAGAGTGCCCAGGTATGCTAGCATATAGAGCCGCAACAGCCGCGCAGGGGTCCACGAGAAAATGCAAAGAAGTCAGGAGCAGCACGGAAGGCTCGTCAGCGATCGGATTAATCGGGAAATTGGTCATGTAGGGCCTCCGAGAACAGCGTGAAGCATCTGTACAGCGTAATAAGCCTCAAAATGTCCCGCAACAATCACCATTTCAGTCAAGGAATAATCAACCTCGTCTGCTCACGGGTTCTTCACTATCGCTTGCGCCTGGTCTTGGTCGCCTAGAAGCCTAACGAGGTCCAATGCGGCTACGTTTTGTGTTTTAAAAAATGCGTCTGTTTGACCGCCTGTGGGCACCTTCGGAGCCTGCGGGCTCCTTCAGGGTGCTGAGAGCCATGGCCAGTACCGCTCCCCTCCCCCAGATCGGCCCCCGCCCACGTGGGGCCAGTGGTCAGCTGGCTAGTGTTTGACAGCTGGCTAGTGTTTGACAGCTGGCTAATGTTTGACAGCTGGCTAATGTTTGACAGCTGGCTAGTGTTTGACAGGGCGCTGCTGGACCCTGCAAGTCCCTGCAAAGCTTGACCGTGTTTGTTGCGGCCAAAGCACGGTGCCGCTGGTTGGTTAACGTGAACGGTGGGCGCTTCCTTGCAGCGTCGTCAATAAGCTCTCGTTCTCGTTTTCTCATTTACAAAGAACGTGTAGGGAAACCTCGCCAAGTCAGCCCCTCAAACTGCGCCAGCCCGTCCGGTGGGATGGGGTGTATACGTGGATGACGCTCCTGTATAGCCTTTTGTACTTGCAGGCGTGAGTCTTTCGGTCAGCTGCGTTTCGGCTTTCTCTGCTGCTGTCGTCGTGAGACTATGGCTATGCCATGACACTTTCGTGCAGGCGCCGTCATGCAAACTAAGTTTTAGCATAGTGAAGTGGCACATCAGATCGTTAGTATTCAACCAGATTCGCATAAGATTATCGTGCGACCAACATACCTACGGTAGGAATGCAGACATTTGCCTTTTCTTTGTCATCAGCTGCAGTTCAGGTCAGCCCGGCTGCCACACCGTAAATTTCTACGTGGTCCCGCTTGTCCACTCCTCGTAATGCCCATGCGGCCTCGTCCCTATTCTCTCCTTAAAGAAGGTGCAGGAAAACCCCGCCGAATCAGCGCTCAGACGGCGGCGGCCCGCCCAGCGGGAGTGCTTCCGGAACAGACGTGGCTCGTGCACGTTCCGGCGGGCTGTGGAAGCCCGGTTAGTCAGCACGGCCCACGGCGCGCGGCGGATGTCGCGAACTCCCAAGGTCATCGGCGCCACTCTGTTGTGTCTGCCCCGCCTCGGACCCCACCATGCACCGGCGGCGCGGCCTTGGTTGGCTGGCCCGCCCTGTAACAGGGGCGTCGCCAGTGCGACACTGATTTGGCGGCACGCTGCGAGGCGCTACTGTCGGGAGGGAGTTGGGTGCTAGTTGGCTGTCTGCAAGCAGGGGCGGCGCAGCTGGGGGAGGGGGGCAGAGGGGCAGTAGGAGCAGTGCCCCCCCCCCCCCCCCCCACCTCACTGCCGGTGAGCAAGGGGCAGAAGTATGTTTTTGCCCCTCCCTAAAACTTCTGAGAGGTCCAAACTAATGGCATTGTAGCTACCCGTAGATACCAAAATCAAAGTTCACGACCCCTCCGTAACTGAACTTGAGAGCGATCGGGATCAGCAGACGCTTTTACATGAAGAGTCCCACTTTCTGGATCATGGACACTTTCATGAATAAGGTCGTCAGTTCTCTAGATTAGGAGGCCCAAGGTTTTATTAAAGAGGTCGCTTTGGTTGCTTGGGAGGCTCCCGCTACGAACCTAGGAGACTCTGTTCTGGATTACGAGGCACCATCTAAATTCAGGAGGCCCCTTTTGCAGGCATCAGATGTCCGACGTTTGGAATCAGGATGTCCAAGTTTTGGATTTCGAGGTCTCTAGGCTATATTGGAAGGCCCCATTCGTGAATCGAAAGCATTCCCTGTTTAGATTACAAGGCCCCCTATGCATCAGACAGCCGTTTTTAGAATACGGGGCCCCGCTTTAGGTTGCTGAAGCTCCACTGGATGAAGGCCAATTCTGTTTGTATCTAATTATCAAAATTTACTTACTTGCATATAATGCATAAAACAGTTTGGTAAAGGAGCGCATGCCCTTGGTACCCCTCCCCTTGAATACGACACTACCTAGCAACCCCCTCCCATCCGTGAGGAGGCACCATTTTATTCAGGAGACCTGTCCGAAAATCCCGCCGACTCCCCTAACTCCAAATCCGTGACACCGTCCATGCCAACGAGCGCTCCGATTAGTAAGGGGCATAACCGTTCTCGCGGTTTGCCACTGATTGAACTAGCAAACGACTGCTGGGTGTGTGGTACTTTGTTTGGTCATGTGGTCATTTGCCAAGTCTCTTACGCTGATTTGAACCCGGATTGTGGCCGACAGTTGCCGAACGCGAGCTAGTTTGGGAAAACTTCGGGAGTCCTGCCGACTGCTGAACTATTTATGGAATGGTATGCCATTTTTTTTCACGCAAGTTTGTATTGTCTTAAATCAGTAGGTGGCGCTGGCTGACCAGGCACTGCTTCACTCGCAGCTTCATTGGAAAGCGACTCCTATTTGTCCTGGATTTCTGGGATCAGCAGGCACGACGGATCAGATAACATGCCGCACCAATCACGCACCCATGTCGCTCCAGGTACGAGCGTGGGAACACTACAGCTGCGGACCATGACCTCCAGCGCCGGCTTCAACAACTTCGACATCCTGCGGCAGCAGGCCGAGCAGCGCCTGCAGCCGGAGGATCAGTGGGACCCGGAGAAGGCCAAGCAGCGGTAACGCCTGCCTGACGACCCGTAGCGCCGCTGGCTCCGGTGTGCGGCGTCGAGCCCGCTGGCTCCGCTGTGCGGTGTCGAGCCCGCTGGCTCCGGTGTGCGGTGTCGAGCCCGCTGGCTCCGGTGTGCGGTGTCGAGCCCGCTGGCTCCGGTGTGCGGTGTCGAGCCCACAGACTACGGTGTGAGGTGTTGAGCCCGCTGACTCCAGTGTGCCGTGTTGAGCTCGCTGACTCCGGTGTGCGGTTTGGAGGATGGGGTGGAGCCAGCACGCGAGTTCGATGTGCGGGATGAGGATGACAAGCTGTCACAAGTGGGTTTTGTCCTCATTTCCGGCGGATGGGTGGCGTGATGTATTGACGATAGGGACGATAGTGTCCACATGCAGGCATCACTGCGCTGCATGCTTCCGTATCGTTCACGCCCTCGCCATTGCACCATTGAGACGACGTTTATATCGACACGCGACCACGAGAGCGTGCTTATATTTGTGTGCCACGAAAAAGGCCTCCGCCATGGCCGTGTGTTTCCATGTGTGCTTTTCGAGGGGCGGCATCCGTTGAAGTTGAGCGTGCGTCGTGCCTTGCTTTACGTGGAGAGCCGCCTGTGGGCACTGCGTAATGGCAGCCTACGGCTCAGCACTACTGTGGTGTACAAGGATCAGTAGGATACACATTCCAGAAAACGTTTTGTCGAAACCTCGGCGGCTGCGATAGCTGCTTTAATGATGACATCGGTGATCAGGACATATGCAATGGTACAGTAGAATAATACAACGCCATAATCGACGTTGACCTTTTTTCCATGCGACAGGGGGAGAGAGAGGGTGGTTTCGTACTCAGCTTGAAGTACTACGGTGTCCCAACTTTACCATTAGTCCTCTTGCCCAAACAAGAAAAGGGAGAAGGTAAGGTATATGCAGCAGACGGACTTTCCTGAGAAAGCGATTAACCTTGGCCCTGTTTTCATTTACCTGAGCTGATTGCAAAAATAATTTTGGAAAATCTACAGCGCCGATCGAGCGTCATTTGACCCACGATTCGATCGAACTGCCTGAGATACGCGCCCAATTGGAGGAGATGAGAATGACCCTTTGACCGTGATGTTCTCACTCTCGCTGACACGCAAGAGGCCATTTTGATTTTCGGCGAACGGTCCAGTCGGTGTGAACTGTAACACTATCACCCGGAAGGCATTGCTTTAGATTGCAGGACTGGAGTTTAAGCGAAAGACCACCGGCAAGGAGATCCCTCTGGATGCGGCCGTGTTTCAGTATAGCAGTTCAAAGCCTCTAACCCCTAGCCCGTCGTGACACGGGTGTAAATAACTACGTCTCCTGCGATTGCGGGGACTCGCATTAGGATTGGAGGAGTCAAACTAGAACGCGGGACATCCTGACCTGCAAATGACTTCTGAAATGCGAAAATGTGATACACGTGCATGCCGTAGGCCAATTGGACGCGACAAAAACGAATTTGGGAATCCCCAGCCCCTCCAGCGGTCGTAGAGGGGCTGGGAATTCCCAACTTCGATGGGGGACATGGGAAAGAACCAATGCGACGTATGTTCAGTCTGAAGCACGAGTCACCACCACCTGAACTGTGCCTCTAACAGCGCCGGTGCGCGCCGCCGCCGCGCTCCTTGCTACAGAGCGCCGCCGGCCAGGGCGACGGCGGGGAATCATGAGTTGGCTTGCTTGTCTGCATCTGACACCCCGGACAGCGCGGGGAAAACCCAGCCAATCCCGCCCACGGGCGCGCGGACCGCCGGTCGTCAGCCGCGAGGGGAGGGGCGGTTACGGGGAGGGGCTAAGTGACGTCATTCACGTCGCCAGCGCCCTTGCCCCGTTGCATTCCAATTGCTCCAACCCAGCACTCATAGCGGTTTGAGTAAATGTTTCCTGTCTGGAGTTGACTTCGAATATCTCCAATTTCCAGGATGCCCGCGCCGCCTGCCAGAGACCAGACCTGAATTGAGGCGACGTCACAAAGAGTGTAGGCACAAAGAGTGTAGGCACAAAGAGTATAGGCACAAAGGGTGTAGGCACAGTGTCACAAAGCTCGACAAGGAGCGTCAACATCCCTTAGGCTGTCCTTCGGGCAGCGAAGCTCTCGTCGATCCACTCACGCAACGCCGCGAGGACCAGCATTACAGTCATACGGTGCCCCGCTTGTGCTACGAAGCGCGCCATGAAAATCACATCGGAGCCGAATGCTTATCTAGTTTCAAACTTGACTCTCCTTTCCGATGCTGGCACCAGACGGGTGAACAAACAAACCGAACACGAATCATGTCAGCACAAGCAACGCCAACCAAAGCAGGCCACGATGCGACTGCACAGCCAAATCTACCGGCCGGTGCAACCGATTCTGCAAGTGGGACGAACCGTGCTTCACCCCCGCTACTGTGCAGTCTGCTAGATGCCGTCTCGGCAACGTCCAGACCAGACCACAGTCTGCGGACGCACCTAACGAAGCGTTTAGCGTGCAGCAAACCCCATGAAGCGTGAGTCATCCCCATGGTGAATAAACAGAAACCGGGCATGTGCCGGGCCGACCCCGCGAAGCGTCAGGGAAAGAGCTCACAAAGCGCTTCCACTGATTTGCGGCCGGTCGCATGCCGTGAGTCACGTGCAACAAACAGCTGCACGGAACGGCCCTCGTTAGCGGCCGCGATTCGTGCAACGGTCTCGGAATAGTGATGCCTTGCCCCGGACGGCTGGTGCCCACACGCCCCCCACTCGCTGTCCACCGCCCTTACATTCACATCCGTCATCAACTTCCCAAGCCAGTGTTCTCCCACCGTTTTGCCACGGTAAGATCGCTCCTGACGAAATCCCGGAAATGAAGTAACATTCTGTAACTTTTCACAACGCATGCGCTAACATTATCTCATGGCGGACGTCCGGGCCTGCTGCTACAGCGGAGAAACAACATCGCGCCGTCACCTTCCGCGCCGTACCTTCTTCTCGCAGCCTGGTCAGTATCGTCTCATGCGATGTGCAGTCCGTAGGCGACCAAATACTGAAGCTGAAACCGAACTTACGAGACAAGATTTACATGCGAAATGGCTATTTTACATTCCCCAGATGAGCTCGGGACACCAAGACCGCGCGTTACGCTCCGCTGCGGGCGACGCATCCACACCGGCAAGTGACTGCCCACTTCTCCTCCCTCTTTCACCTCCCCGAAACACGACCTCGTATTAGTACTATATTCTTCACTCGGACAGCGAACGGCGCTTGCAACTAAATGGTGACGAAACCGAACGGAGGCAGGTCAGTGGAACGAGGGCCGGGCACGGCCAATGAGTGCAGCCCCGCCGGGGCCCGGGGCGCGCGGGCGTCTCATCACATGGGGCGGCCGCGGCCGCGGCCGGCCGGCGGGCCGCCGCCCTCGCCGCCCGAGCGAGGGTTCTTGATGGTGTTGTCGACGGACAGCACGAGGCAGGCGGCCTCGCTGGCCGCCGTCAGCGCGTTCACGCGCACGACGGCCGGCTCCCAGACGCACGCGGCCAGGTTGTCGGCCACGTCCTCGTTCTGGATGTCCACGCCAAACCACATGCCGCCCTCTGTCGGATGGCCAGAAGGGTCAGGTCAGGTCAGGTCGGTCAGGTCGCTTGTCGACACATAAGACGACGATTTGTCGCGCACGCAGCGGACCGCTTCGTATAGTCTCTGGCGATTTCTGACGGCGTGATTATAATCAACAACTACACATCCGACCAATGCGGCAACAGACGCTCCAGGAGAGGGCCACAGGACTCCGCGCGCCGCGGATCCCCTGATCAGCGCAGGAGGTGCAGCGGGTTTGCTGGCATTCGCTGGGAACGGAGCCCGCGTGCCTCAAGCCAAGGTCGTCCCGACCCGCCGGCCACAAGCGTGCCGCGCCTCTTTCCGAAATGAGGCACACCGCGTCGGAGCGAGCTGCAGAGCGGGGCGCATGTGGCGCCACCTCTCACGCCCGCGGCGGGGCTGACGGGTAGGGTCCTCTGGGAGACGCTGCCGGCCGGCCGAACACCGGGGTGCTCTGCAAAGCGGAGCTCACGCCCTGCCGCCACCACCGACGCCCGGGCCTGGGCTCAGAGGACGGGCCCCAGGCCGCTCCGCCAGACGCTGTCGCCGCGTTCGGGAGTTCCGACGACAAGCAGCGGCCAACACCGTCACGTGTCGCTGGGCCACGTGTCGTGTCGCGCAGCGCGCACCGCCACGCCGGCCGACATCAGTCGATCGCGTGCGACCGCAGCATCGCAACCATCGCCAGCCTTTCCTAGCCAAGGAACAAACCAGACGAACCCGGCTATCACAAGAACAGTCCCCATATCATGTTCCTCTTCGGAACTGTCATTCAAGCCCACCAAAACCAAGAATCCCCCCCCCCCGTCCAGGCCGGCTGCGCCGGTGCCTACCCTGGGCGTGCGTGTGGCGCAGCTTGTTGAGAATGTTGGTAGAGTCAAAGCCGGCGTTGTCGCACAGCTGACGCGGGATGATCTCCAGCGCACGCGCTAGGCAGTCCATCAGCAGCTGTTCCTTGCCGGCCACGGTGCGCGCGTGCTGGCGCAGGTGCCGCGACAGCTCCATCTCGATCGCACCGCCGCCTGTCGGCACGGCCGCCGCCGCCATCACCACACGCGCCACGGTCCCGTCCGCTGCGACCGCCGGTTCGCGGCACGTGTGACCGCGAGCATGTGTCGCGGCGCGGTCCCATGCCTCGATTGTGGAATTGCAGACTGAGTCAGAGTGATCGGCGACAGAATGGCTCAGAATGAACATTGCAAACAACGGAGTCGCGCCGAACCATTCCCATCGAGCTGCACGAACCAAAGGACCATATGCAGCACGGCGCTGCACAGAGTATGCCGACTGGGGCGCGGTTGCGACGGGAGCGTGTGGCTGCCACGCGCAAGCATCAGCCAGCTGCTCCATGTTTTCTGTTGTTTGCATCAGATGATCATGCTGCGCGCTCGTATAAGCGGCACAAACTTCCAGCACGGACAGTGATCGGCCGGCATCCGTTGTCAAGACATTACATTAGCTGCATTCATCACTAGCACGTGAGACAGCGTTCTCTGGGGGTGGGAACCGCACCCCTCCATGGGTCCGGAGATCTCCCAGTTATCCCCCCCCCCCCAACCCCTCCTCCCTCCCCGCCGACCCACCGGCCACGACGCTGTCGTTCTTGATGGCGCGGCGCACGATCATGATGGCGTCGTGGAGCGAGCGCTCCGTCTCCTCCAGGAACTGCTCCGAGCCCCCGCGCAGGATCAGGGTGCACGTCTTGGCCAGCGGGCACTCGCTGAAGAAGTTGTACCTGGCGGGGCCGCCGGTGTCACTGCGGGCCCGCCAGCCACGGGCCACGCGGCGCACGGCCGCAGTGAGGGCGTGACCACGGGGCCACCAGACACGCGGGAACGTGCTGCCGCGGGCGGTCTGCCGCGGGGCACCGCGTCAGCGACATCGCTCGGACCGGGCCAGATTGCCCTGAGTGCGGTCAGCTCCCTGCAGTCCCCCCGTCCCCGCACCTGGACCCCTGCAGCCGTATCACACCAGACCAGCCTCCGACTGAGGCAGCGTGTACTTGGCTCGGCGTCATCTGTCCGCTCCCAGTCCAGTTCAGTAGCCCAGCCAGTCACGCACAACGTACCACGGGCGGGTGTGGACAAGAGACAGCCGCCGCCTCCCACAGGCCAATGCAGAATGCATACAGCATCTACTCGTTATGAAGAGCACTGCCACCTCGCACCTTGCTACCCGTTTTTGGATTCAGATAATACTGGCCTTTTCGATGACCGCATCCGAGAGAATCCGAATCCCTATCGGGATCCGGACCCTCCGAGCATGGTCGAGCCTGGGTCGTGGTGACGATGCTGCCGCCGCACGCCGTCTGAGCTCCTGTCACGTCAGGACAGAGCGCGACATGTCCGCCGCGACCACCCACCTCCCTTCACCGACCTGCCACTCCTTGGAACACCCACCTCTCTCCGCCGACCTGCCTCTCCTCGACCACCCACCTCCCTTCACCGACCTGCCACTCCTTGGAACACCCACCTCTCTCCGCCGACCTGCCTCTCTCGACCACCCACCTCTCCGCCGACTGCTCTCCTCGACCACCCACCTCTCTCCGCCGACCTGCCTCTCCTCGACCACCCACCTCTCTCCGCCGACCTGCCTCTCTCGCCACCCACCTCTCTCCGCCGACCTGCCTCTCCTCGACCACCACCTCTCTCGCCGACCTGCCTCTCCTCGAACCACCCACCTCTCTCCGCCGACCTGCCTCTCCTCGATCACCACCTCTCTCCGCCGACCTGCCTCTCCTCGACCACCCACCTCTCTTCACCGACCTGCCTCTCTCGACCACCCACCTCTCTCCGCCGACCTGCTCTCCTTGGAACACCCACCTCTCTCCGCCGACCTGCCTCTCTCGATCACCCACCTCTCTCCGCCGACCTGCCTCTCCCTCGACCACCCACCTCTCTCCGCCGACCTGCCTCTCCTCGATCACCCACCTCTCTCCGCCGACCTGCCTCTCCTCGACCACCCACCTCTCTCCGCCGACCTGCCTCTCCTCGATCACCCACCCCTCTCTCCGCCGACCTGCCTCTCCTCGACCACCCACTCTCTCCGCCGACCTGCCTCTCCTCGATCACCCACCTTCTCCGCCGACCTGCCTCTCCTCGATCACCCACCTCTCTCCGCCCGACCTGCCTCTCCTCGACCACCTACCTCTCTCCGCCGACCTGCCTCTCCTCGACCACCCATCTCTCTCCGCCGACCTGCCTCTCCTCGACCACCCACCTCTCTCCGCCGACCTGCCTCTCCTCGACCACCCACCTCCCTTCACCGACCTGCCACTCCTTGGAACACCCACCTCTCTCCGCCGACCTGCCTCTCCTCGACCACCCACCTCTCTCCGCCGACCTGCCTCTCCTCGAACACGCCGCACTGGCCGAGCGTGGTCGGGCCCAGGTCGTGGGCTGTGGTGACGATGCTGCCGCCGCACGCCTTCATTGTACGCTTCAGGTCATCCTCGGGCACGCGGCCGGCGCAGAACATGTCGCGGTCCGCAAAGTACTGTGTCGCCACGTCTCCGATCGGCAGCCGGGAAAGCACCACCTGCCGTGGAGGGAGGACGGGTCAGCACCACCTGCCGTAGCGAGAGGACGGGTCAGTACCACGTGCCGTGGAGGGAGGACGTGTCAGCACCACCTGCCGTGGAGGGAGGACGTGTCAGTACCACCTGCCGTGGAGAGAGGACGTGTCAGCACCTCCTGCCGTGGAGAGAGGACGGGTCAGCCCCACCTGACGTAGCTAGAGGAACGGGTCAACACCACCTGCCGTGGAGAGAGGACGGGTCAGCACCACGTGCCGTGGAGGGAGGACGTGTCAGCACCTCCTGCCGTGGAGGGAGGACGGGTCAGCACCTCCTGCCATGGAGGGAAGACGGGGTCAACACCACCTGCCGTGGAGAGAACGGGTCAGCACCTCCCGCCATGGCGGGAGGACGACCCAGCCCCACCGCCGTAGCGAGAGGACGGGTCAGCACCACTGCCGTAGGGGGAGGACGGGTCAGCACCACCTGCCGTAGCGGGAGGACGGGTCAGCACCACCTGCCGTAGCGGGAGGACGGGTCAGCCCCACCTGACGTAGGGGAGGACGGGTCAAACCACCTGCCATGGAGAGAGGACGGGTCAGCACCACCTGCCGTGGAAGGAAAGACGTATCAGCACCTCCTGCCGTGGAAAGAGGACGGGTCAGCCACCTGCCGTGGAGGGAGGACGGGTCAACACCACTGCCGTGGAGAGAACGGGTCAGCACCTCCCGCCATGGCGGGAGGACGACCCAGCCCACCTGCCGTAGGACGTGTCAGCTACCACCGCGTGGAGGGAGGACCCGTGTTGTCATTACCACCTGCCGTGGAGAGAGGAGTCCGCACCTCATGCAGTGGAGAGAGGACGGTCAGCAACACGTGCTCTGGATGGGAGGACGTGTCAGCACCTCCTGCCTGGGGGGAGAGGTAAAGCCACTCCTGCCATGGAGGGAGGAAGTGTCAGCACCACTGCCGTGCGAGAGACGGACCACCTGCCGTAGCGGGAGGACGGGTCAGCACCACGTGCAGTGGAGGGAGGACGTGTCAGCACCTCCTGCCGTGGAGGGAGGACGTGTCAGCACCTCCTGCCGTGGAGGGAGGACGTGTCAGCACCTCCTGCCATGGAGGGAGGACGTGTCAGCACCACCTGCCGTAGCGAGAGGACGGACCACCTGCCGTAGCGGGAGGACGGGTCAGCACCACCTGCCGTGGCGAGAGGACGTTTCAGATCACTGTGAGGTCAATCACGGCATCCCCGCAAGGCGGATCGCGACTGTCACCAGTCACCAGAGCGTCAGATGGCAGCGTTTCAAGACCCGAGCACCACTCAGCACCAGCATACATTGGAAACAGCCGGTTGGCATCGACAAAACTCCAGGACGGCGTTGGTTGAAGACAATGGCATCAACAACAGCACAGGGCTGGCTCGTGTGTATTATGATCACGGTAAGTTGGATTGTATGGCGCGCAAACTATTAACACCGCTCTGCGCCCACCTGCGTGATTGAATTCTCGGCCAGAGCTGGAATAACTATCTTTGTTGCAACTGAATCCGATGGACCGCTCCAACGCGGTGTTCATAGGCGCCATCGCACGCTGCCAGTAGTATAAGAAAAAAACTGCCCGTGACGAGAATCGAACGCGATCCGTCCGTTCGCGGGCGCGCCGCCACTCCCGGCCGGTACCGTTCGGGCCCGGCCGTTGCTCACCTTGGCGCCCGACTTGTGGATGCGGTCCAGCTTGTCGTACAAGATGTCCCACTCGGCGTCCACCACCCGCTGGTACTCCTGTCGGCCGGGGGCTCGCCGTCAGCAGGGCGGGCAAGCCTACAGTCAGCTATCACACGGCATCGGACGGGCCAGCTTACAGTCAGTCATCGCACGGCATCGAGCAGACCAGCCCACAGTTAACCATCACACGGCATCGGACGGACCACGGCTTACAGTTAACCACCACACGGCATCGAACGGACCACAGCCTACAGTTAACCATCACACGGCATCGGACGGACCACAGCCTACAGTTAGCCATCACACGGCATCGGGCAGACCAGCCAACAGCTAACCATCACACGGCATCGGACGGACCACAGCCTACAGTTAACCATCACACAACATTGGACGGACCAACCTACAGTCAGCCATGACACGGCATCGGACGGGCCAGCCTACAGTCAGCAACCACACGTATTTTGTGTCCCAAGTGATACGATCCCATACAGTGTACTGGAGTCACGCACAGTGGCCACGCGCCGGCAGGCACGCCGCCGGCACTGCGTCGGCTTTGATCAACTTCATCATGCATGGGGGATCATCACAATGAGACCGCTCGTCGCCACCTTCATCTCCCACGGTCAGAGACACGTCGCGTACAGCATCGGCGCGTCTCCGCGTCAAGCCCAACGAACCGCGTGCTGAGTCAAACAGCACCGGAAACAACACAGCGGAGCGGGTGATGTTCACCGCCGCGGCCGCTGCTCAGCGACTGTCATTCATCAACGGTCCTCGCCGCCGTTACGGAGGTCCGCACGGCCGCCACAAACGGCCTCAGTAGCAGCGACAGAGGGAACACTAACCGGCACCTGTCTGCTAGACCTTAGTACCATTACAGTCCAATCTACCGCATATAGCTTCAATATCACTCAAATGCCAAGACAACCTGGCGACGCTCCATCGCCACAAACACCCCATCCCACCTCGTATACCAGCCACAAACACCCATCCCATCCCACACACCAGCCACAAACAGCCCACCCCACCCCACACACCAGCCACAAACAGCCCACCACACCCTGTACACCAGCCACAAACAGCCCATCCCATCCCACACACCAGCCACAAATAACCATTCCACGCCACACACGCCACACCCTAACCCACCGCGCCGTCTCCTCCGTGACACCCCACCGAACCCGGTGTCTTCCCGGCTGCATCTCCACCGCCAGTGCGCGACCGAGCCGCGTTCGGCACACCTGCGCCTCCGCCGCCGCCGCCCACACCGCACCTGACCTGGCTGGCCACTGACCTCCACGTTGTCGAGTCGAACCTCGGCGTTGTCACGCTCGGCCTTCAGCTCCAGCTCGATCTGCAGCAGCGCGATCTTCGGCTGCCGGTACGACTTGGGCTGCATCTCGAAGCCGGCGTACGAGAAGGTCTTCTTGAACGCCACGCCGGCCACCAGCTCCGAGTCCTGGCGGCGTCCGCGGCGGGCGCCGATGGTGACGGACACGGCGGCAGGTCACGGCATGGGGGGGGGGGGGGGGTCGCCCGGCGACCACGCTCACTGGGACAGGTACCGCGAGGCAACACAACCGACTCGACACGCGTGTTTTTACCAGTCGCCAGCAATGCCACAGACACCGGCTGTATCACCAATCCATACGTCAGAACATCAGATTGTCTCCCTCTCACCCCAAATACAATTATCCACCCTCTCCTGTGCACTCAGTGCTCTGATAGGCTCTCCTCTGCCCTGGAGCCAGCCGGCCGGGCATCACCATCGCCGGCGACGGTCCCCTCCGTCGCCCCGCTGGCCGGCGGAGGTCACCCCTCCCCTCCCTCCACCACTCACCTCCGTCGCCCTGCTGACCAGCGGAGGTCACCCCTCTCCTCCCTCCACCACTCACCTCCGTCGCCCCGCTGACCAGCGGAGGTCACTCATCCCCTCCCTCCACCACTCACCTCTAATGCGCCGCCCTGCACTTGCTTGATGCCGATCATGTTGAGCGGCAGCAGCTCGTCCAGCGACAGCACGGCGTCCACGGCCATCTTGGAGAAGAAGTCCTTCTGCTGGTGGATCAGCTTTGACATGAGCGCGGTGCCCGCGCACTTGCGCAGCAGGTCGTACTTCTCGGCGTCGCCGCTGCTGCCCGACACCTGCCCGCGTCAGGTCAGGCAAGGTCAGGTCTGCTCAGGTACCTTCTGGTCATCGGGTCAGGTCGGGGAGGTAGCATCATGCTCGCAATAAGGCCGAGGCCAGTGACTCGGCTCATGACTCGGAGACCACGCCACTTGAGCGATTACAGGAGCCATATTTTGCTTCAGGTAGACAGCCCGTTAGAACGTAACTCAGTTCCAAAATTAATCGAATAGGGTGTGCAGGATGTAAATTGAACTTATGTTGTAATAATCCTAGCTCCCCTGCAGCCCCCAATAAGTTGGTACCAATCTGTTGCAATTTCTTTGATGCTGATTGGCTGATTTTGAGCGATGGGAAGGCCAGCAGGCAGTGAGCCCCAAACAGGATGTATAACATGAAAAAATGTTGACATCCCTGCCACCCAAGTGGCCGAATACTGGCACACGGACGCGACATATTCTACAACAGCAGTAATTCGTAAATGTACTCATACTTACATCTAACATCACCGAAAGGAGCCTTCTCAATGCACAGATGTTGAATCACGAGTGCCTTCCTGTTCTCGCATTGAATGCAACATAACATAACTAACACAAAACCAGATATACCCACACCAGACAATACAGCTTAAAATATAGTCACACAATAGCATAACACGTCATAGCCACCATGTCATAAGCCATCCCAGGAGCCCTCCCAACGCCACGGCCTGAGCGCTCACCTTGACGGCGACCTCGTTGATGCGCTTGATCATCATCATGGTGCCCTTGCGGACGGCCCTGATGATGACCTGCGGGTGGACGCCCTCCTCCACGTACGGCTTGACCTGCTTGAGGAGCTCGCCGGCCAGCAGCACCACGCTGGTCGTGCCGTCACCCACCTGCCGGCCGCCGGCGGACATACGTCAGACGCGTCGACGGGCTCGGATGGTGGCCAGACCGCCCGCGACGGCGGCGGCGCGGCACCCTCAGGGACACGTGGGAGGGGGCGGCGCAGCTCCCTCCCGGACACGTGGACGGGGGCAGCGCGGCACCCTCACGGACACGTGGGAGGGGGCGGCGCGGTTCCCCATTCCTCAGCCGTCGTCGGGAGTCGCAAGGTTGACAAGACTCCCAAAGGCGTCACGCAGTCGGCCGTGCGGTAACTCGGTTTGGAAACATTTACTTTTGAATAATTCCGAATGCAAGACAAAACCATCGAATTAGAAAAAATAGTATCCTTTATGAGTTACATGACGACACTTTTAAGAGTCCACCACAAAATATTCCAACTTGCAGATGATTTCTGCATTGCCCAATCTTGTGGTACCCATAGGGGTGGCCACACACAGCATTCCAGTACAAGACTACTGTGAGACTCCAGCACCTGCCACACAGCAGTCACATCAGCACTGACTGGCGACCCGTGAGCGCACCTCAGCGTCCTGACTCCTGGCGATGTCGACCAGCGTCTTGGCGGCCGGGTGCACCACGTTCAGCAGCTTCATGATGGTGGCGCCGTCGTTGGAGATGGTGGCCTTGCCGTTCTCGGTGACGATCAGCTTGTCCATGCCGCGGGGCCCGAGGGTGGTGCGCACGGCGTCCACCACGGCGCAGCAGGCATTGATGTTGGAGATGAGCTGGGGCTTGCCCTGGCTTGTGTCTGTGCCTTCCTTCAGCAGGATGATCTGGGGCTGCTGCACAATGCCATGGGAGCAAATGATGAGCAATAAGGTAAGCTACCCTAGTGCATTACCTCTCCCTGAGTGCAAACACATCACAATCTGTACATACTTTACCACATAACATTTAACTTAAAGTAACATTGTCTGCTTATGTAGCTCAGCCTGATAGAGCATCTGCTGCCCAACCAGCCCAACTGATGCGCTTTGATGCTTGCTATTTGTCCCTGGCTGGGATAGCTGACAACTGGTGGCAGTGGCTGCTAAAATGGGATGAGGTCAGAGGGCATGTTTCAAGCAAAGCTGCACATTTAAATTTTGCCAAAAAAATTATGCTACTTAACTGAAATTTCCAAACCAGATGGTGGGGTCAGGGTTCATATGACAAGCACTACCTAACATGAGCTCTGAGACCCAGAAATCCATGCAATCAAATTGTTTGCACCAAATCAATACTGCAACATGGTGCACTTGATGCACTTTGCAGCAAGGATGGCAAACAATGCCATTGAGTGGCATCACTAAAAAGTCAAGCTGGCTCAAAATTGTACATAATTAGACAATTTTGGTTTCTACATTTAATACATTGAGCACTGCAATACAAAAATGTTTCAAAACAAGCCATGTCTGAGTATGCAACTTTCTACACATAGAACAAACATACCATTGTGGATTTTTGGTGTGCCTTTTCTTCTGCGGAACAGCTTCTTGAGATCTGAAATGAGGTAACACATCATGAACCAAACATGAAAACACTTGAATCCCATTCCTTATCTTTGCAGCAAGGATGGCAAACAATTTGCTTGAAAGGCAGACAGTCTACTGATGATTGGCCACCTGGTGGTCAAACATGATCAAAAACCTGACACCAGAGTCAAAGGCTTTGGCCTACAACAAAACTAATTATATGCGGCTCTGGCAAACAAAAAACTGTCCTTCAAGAGCCCAGTCACTCAGCTGGAGCATGCCCGAAGCAACTGGAATACTGCAAATGGGTGACACCCATCTCTCACTGGGCCAAAGTTGAGACAAAAATGTTGCACCAGTAGTGTTATGCAAACAAATAATTCCTATAACAGTGGGAAATGCCCCCCCCCCCCAAAAGGAAAATAGGCAGGCAACTGCTAATTTTTGCAAAAATTATCTATGATGCCGAACAACATGATGCTGATGCAATCAACCCTCAGAATGGCTGGGACTTACTCAGGAAAGGTAAATTGGGTAAAACTTTCAAATGAAGCTGATTTTAAAAGGAATGGCTGGTGGTTTCCAATTAAATTATGAAAGCAGCAAAGTGATCCCTCTGAAAATTGGGTTATATGTGCTTAAACTGGGGGCAATCTGGCACCAAACTCAGAGCTCTCAGATTTATACAGCACTGATATGTGCTGTGCTGACATGGTTGCCAGGATGTTCCAAATAGCATACACTTTTTACAGTCCAGTAACAATTTCTGCAAAGGAAACTTGACAATATGTTTATCTGACTACAAATTCTGCTTCCTCATACAATTCTTAAAATGTGACATAAAAGAACAATGGTGATCTTAACAAATATGTGCAGCTAATCTTCAGTACCAGCTGCACAAACTGGACTGCACAAAAGCTGCACAATGCCTGCATCACGGCTGATAAAGCAGGAAAGCCAGGTCATTTAAGGCAATCAGGCCAATGTAAATTTGTAGTAATAATACTAATATCTATGCACATATCTAACAAAGCCAGCTAACATAAACACTGGTACAAACATTCCATCCACAAAGTTCCACATTGTCAATCCTGCCAATTCCCAACTTAATTATTGGAAACGGCTATTGCAAAGCATGATAGCAGTCATCTTTGGCTGGGTCAGGGTGCTTCTGCAAAATATGTGCCCTGAACATAGTGAAACATGAGTCGGGAGGGGTGGGGACTACACAGCCAGTCTGCAAAACATGGCAGGTTTAGACAAAGGTCTCATTAGGGCAGGGTTAAAGCAAACATTGATGTTCAGGGCAACTTCTACAAATTTTAGGGCTGATTTGAAAATTCTGACACAGGTTAGAAATATTGGGGCCAGAAAACTTCAAATGGGGTAGTTCACATTATTTGTGGGCAGTTCATGGCACCTAGTGGCAAGTGTTGAGCAGCGACTAAGCAGACCTGGCAATTATGCCATTGTGCACACAAAAATGAGGGCATCCCAACTTGTCATGGTAGGGACAGGCCAGAGGCCAAATCCACAGTACATCTGAACTGCATAATGTTCTTTAATGCTGCCTTATTCAACTGCCCTGCCTGGGATGTGACTACTCACACAACCCTCCTGAAGCCTGACATCCACCACCAAATTAAAGATCAAATTAAGAGTGCCACAAAATATTGTGTAAGCCTGAAACACATTTACCAGCCCATCCACCTGACCCAACTACCCAACTAAAAAGGAAATTACATTCCTGAGGTGTTTGTTCAAACAAAGACTGATGATTCTCCACAGTACACCCACAAAGCTAAGTATGCAGGCCTCAATATGCCTATATGCAGGCCTCAATTGCACCTAAGTATGCAGGCCTCAAGCAACAAAATGAGCTTTATACATAGAGCACAAGTGATCAACATCTATCTGACGAGTCCCTGTAGCACCGGCAAAACCGGACAGGCTCCCTTCAGCGTGGTAGCAGTTGGCGTAGGAGTATGACAGAAAGTAACGGTTCCCGTACTTATTTTGAAGGTAATTCTTTCCACGAGTCGCCATGGGGTTAACGCTCAGCAGTCTCTGAAAGTGGCTGTGTTTTGCCATATACGGACCCCGTCCAACGCCTGCCTATGGTAATAGCCGATCGACATTGAAAGCAATACGCTACCCGGTTCACGTTCTAGACTATTAACACAGAGGATGCCAAGACACATTGTCAGCAGCAGTTCAGTTCAATGAACACTTCGATATCGACCCAGAGAAACCCACCTGCACACCACGCGCGACGGAACCCTCGAAGGCGCGGCAGGGCGGTAACTTTGTTCTCGCACGTTCCGCGATCACGCGGCACGCGATGCGGCAGTGCTGTTACATGTCTACAAATACAGCGTGTGTACGACATTTAATTGAGAGTTACAGTAACTAAATTCAACGATGAAAATTGTTTGGAGTCTTATGCGTTGTCGGGCATAAATCTCATGAAGGAGACACATACTAATACGAACCCACACGCACGTGAGCACGCACGCACGCACGCACACACACACACACACACACACACATTTATCAAAGCGCACTTTATGGTGCAGGTATTCGCATATACTGCCACACCAAACATGGATGATAGCCCGAGCTATCCCATCCGAAGCACTAATTCCTCGCAAGTCAAATATTCCGCTCAAAATTGCAGGCATACATAAATTTCGTGACAAACTTTTAACCCTTTACCATCCTTGTTTACGCATTGGTTGCGCTGGGTGAAATCCTCCTCCCTTTGTTATGCTGTCTTACGCAAAGCCTTCCAAGAAGCACCGTTCATTTGGCCCCAAATTGAGTAAGGTACGTGAAACAACGTACTGGCGTGCTGCTTAGCATGAAAGGAGGCTAACAACACCTGGAATTAATGTTTTAATTCCTTTGAATTTGATTTTCAAGCGCACGTGAGTGCCGTTGAGCGCCGAACACGCCGCTGAGCCATACAATGCCTGTCCGTCCCTTGGTACGCTCCCACAAGGGTCCACCAAAAACGTCCATCCTGCGTAACGTTATTTATGGACGACGTCAAGCCTAACTTCGAGCCACCTCCGATCAATCGACTGCACTGTCGATGAACAAATGTGTATCGCTTTCCAAGCATAGCTCAAGTTAGCCGTGTTGTTTTCTGTATGTGGTCGTGAATGTCGCATTGTGCAGCCGCTTTGCAGGCAGATGATCACGTTGTTCATTTGCCAGGAACTGAACATGGGAACCTTCTGGAAAACTGCAAATTTGATTGAATATAGCTCACTAAATTTTACCCACAAAGATCATGTCCTTCGTGGGTCGTGGTTTCGAAAAATGAGTGTGGGGGCGGGGGGGGGGGGGGCTCAACGCAGAAAAAAACTCACCCTCCGCCCCAGAACAACCGTTAACATACGACTTCCCCCCCCCCCCCCCCCCAGAATCGGTCTCTCAAAGTCGAGATGGTGGGAGGGCGGGATGAATCGTCTTCTCCTCGCCACAAATTGAATAGGAAACTACTTCCCTGGTTCAATCGTACGTTTTTTAGCTTTTATTTGTAGCTTTTATTGCGAGTTTTTGGCCGTTCCGATATCCTTCGTTTTTATCAAAATTGTCGATTTAGTGGTCACAACAGGTCAGTACCATCTTCAGTAGTTTTTGCTGATCTTGCAGGTCTATGGCAACCAGCAGCACACACATTTCGGTAGGAATCACCTTCCGTGTATATGACTTAAGCATCAAATGCACACTGCATCCTGATATTCACCTCATGATATACCGTCATCCGTTCGCTTTACGTTACACCGCATATCTGAGGTGCTTCCAGACCGTGCTGCCCATGCAGAATACGTGCCCAATGTAGCTATTACATCATCTTGGTGCACACAAAAGCACGCGATTATATAGTTTATTGGTACAAATTGACATAGCACATTGTGAATCATCCTCATTATCCTTATACGAATTACGCACGTTAAAACCCTTACATTGCTTACTGAAAAATGGCGGCCGAATAGAATCAAAGTAGTTTATCCAGGCATTCGAACACCAGAAAAGTCGTCCAAGTCAGTTGTAAGCCAAGCTCTACATGGCCGATATCACCCGTGCTACAGAAGCGCGAATGCATCGGCGCAGCAAGGTCTCCAACACCGCAAAAATCCATACGGACACCGTTAAAAGTATTGTTAGCCGGATTAGCAGCATGACGACGGCGCGCGCGTACAACCATCCCCGGGGCGTCCAATAGAGACCGGCCCGTCTGAACACGGGCGCCAGCCGGTCTGTGCCTCAGTGGTGACGTCACAGCGGCGGCCTGCCGGGCCCAGCGGTCGACCGGCCGGCTTTGTGCAGTCAGCAGCCTCGCGCGCGGCCACAACACATCAAGAGCAGTTCGCAGACAAGCACACACGCACACGCTCACACGCAGACCCGCTCACGCCGGCGCGCCCAGGTGGCGGCCGCGCGGCGCCGCGCCACCGAGCGGCCGTCGGCACGCCGGCGCCGCCCCGAGCAGCCGGTCAGCTGACGCCGCGCCGCCGCGCGCCGGCCCGGCCCGGGGCCGTGCGCGCCCCGGCAGCGCCCCAGCGCCGCCGCTCCAGTCTAGGCTACACACCGCCGGGCCGGCCGGGCCCGCTCGCCTCTCCGCGACGCCGATAAACCTCCAACCGCGTAACAAACACGTACAAAAGACGCGGCGCCGGCCGGCGCCGGCCGGGCGCGCCCATTGGTCGGTGCGGCGGGCGGCGGCGGCGGCCGGCCAATCAGAGCAGGCGGCAGGCTTTCCTCTTCTTCTTCTGGTGCGGCTGCGGACAGAGCACGGCGCGGATGGCCTCGTCGAACACGTTCTTCAGGCCCTTCTGCGTGAGGGCCGAGCACTCGAGGTACTTGACAGCGCCTATCTCCTTAACCATGGCCGAGCCCTGCCGGAGACGGTCAGCCAGGTCATAGCCATGCTAGGTCACAGGCTGGGGCGGGCGGTGGTCCCGGCACGCGGCCGGCACCGGCCCATGGCCACGTCGCGAGAACAACCAAAGCGTTCTATGAATGGGCGAATGATCAGCAACGAGGCTTGAAAGCACAACAGTCCGACAGGGTTCACTAACAGCCGCCTACGACTGGCTGCAAACGGACGGTAACATATGGGCCCCACACCGCGCCAGATGTCGTGGATGTGCGGCCCAGGCGGAGAAAAGGTACACACGCGCTGGAGCTCAGCCAGTGCAACTGCGGGCACGGGCATCATAGTGGACTGCGCCACGGGGAACGGCGTCGTCGTCAATTGCGTCGACCAGGGAGCAGGGAGCACGGAGCACTCACAACACCGGCCATCTAAGTGGCATCCATGGAGCAATGACACGTCTAATCCAGACATGCTGTCAATGAAAACATCCAACACTTCAACTGCTACCTGCGTTGAAGGCAGGAGTGTGGTGTTCACTAAGTTAGTTTACCGATTACTTACTTGTTGATACGAATAGCAGGCCAGTGTCAACAGAAGATGGATACTGTTCAGGAACCCAACTGGCTCATATAATGGATGCATGGCAGAGTGGAGCACGACCAACGACCTGCAATCTATGATACACGATAAACGCAACGAGCAACCGCAGATAAGGTTGAGCTACTTACTATGAGCTTACATTTTATTGGTGTGGACACCCAGAACATTGCATGCTTACTGAACAATTAAGCTTAGTGTTGAACCATGAAACGACGTAAGAGACGAAACAAATTTCAGTGACAATTAAAAATGGTGAACCGAAACATGATAAAACTCATGCCACCTACTGGCACAACGCTGATGAATACCACAACTGGAAATGCATAGCTAAACCATTGAAATGTAAATAACGTGGCACAGATAATGACGTTTCACTGGTGCAAACATGACGTTACTAATGATTTCCATTATGACACCTTCCCCCATCAAAATACAACACATCGTTGACAAATGGATTGAGATCTATACTGCACATAAGCACAATCAAGCAAAGTACGAACAGATGAAAGAATGCTTGCCAATGAAATAGTTGTGAGCCTGCGACATAGCACGCGGGAGAGCTATGATAATACAGATACAACATCGGTCAGAAAGTCCGCGCATGCGCTTGCGTGTAAGTGGGCATGCGCTGCGGTGTTCCGGGAGAGGTGAAGTGCCAAAACGTTTAGTTCACAGGGTGGCTACAAAGCCAAACACATCTAGTCCGAACATCTTCCGGCGGCGGGAAACGAAACGCAATGAAACCAATACCAAATCAAAATATTGGGTCACGTATGCCGCAGGCTATCCATGCTTCAACACACGCGAACGCACAAACCATTTCCGCCAGTACCCGTGGCGCCACCTAGGTCGTCCGGCCGGCTACCGCGGCGCCGTCTATAGTAAGCAGCAGGCGCGGCGTTTTCGCTTCAGCGGCAGTGGGAACAGGACGGCGCGGATCGCCTCGTCGAACACGTTCTTCAAGCCCTTCTGTGTGAGCGCCGAGCACTCGAGGTACTTGGAGGCGCGCACTTCCTTGGCCATGGTCAGACCCTGCGGCACGCCCGTTCCCGTGGAATAGGTGCAAGTGGGCGCGTAGGGGGGGGGGGGGGGAGGCAGGATATAGGCGGGTTAGGACCGGTTGGCAGAGCGCTATTGCTAAGAAAGCATTCTAACCAGAGGTCGTTTAAAAATGTTGATTTGCAGCCACAGATACGGCAAGGATGAAGTGGGAAACATAAAAATTACAAAGAAACGCCACTGCCGCAACCACAGATGAAAAATATCACGTATGGGATAGAGGATTGCTGAGTGATTGCTTATAAATATGTCCACGCGAACTAAACATTTTTACTCCCGGGCGATTATAATTGACAGTAAAATCGATACTAGCCGTGAATATTACGAACACATTACGCATATGGGACTATGGACAGTACCACCGATTTTGAGTGTGGGGGGGGGGGGGGGGCAGATTTTCCGGGGGACTTCTGAATAAAATGGGCCCTCCTGCGCGATGTCATATCCAAGAAGGCGCCACCAAAAAAGGTATGTACCTCCTTATCGAATCGTTACATACATTGTATCCCAGGATTCTCCAGAACAGGATTCTCTCTTTATGATATGCAAATCTCAAATCTCTTTATTTAAAAAAAGTCATCTTGGTCCGGTAATGTGACCACCTGATACATAAAAGGAGCATCCTGTCCCAGAAAAGGGCCCACTGAATACAGAGGATGCCTATTAACCCGAAAGAGGACAGTCCTGGCTCATGACAGGGGCCTTCCAAATCAGCAAAGCAACCTTCCAAACACGAATTTGGTCTACTTTTCTAGAGCACAGACTACCTGATTCATAAAGGTGGCCTCATCGTCCAGAAAAAGGTTCTTTTGGTGTGTAAAAGGGTCTCCAATGCCCGATTGTTTACTCTTTAGCCCTTCCCCTACTGGCGGAGGGGAGGGCAACTACCCCATCTGGCACGACGTCTCCGTCGCTCCGGAGCCAACAATAGCGTCCCCTCCAGCCCACCAGACATAAGCGGACCCGTCCGCTGCTACAGCAGTCCAAACAACGTCCCAGCGCAAATAATAAGGTATCCTTTTAGTTAACGATCGATGCAAGCTCAAGTTGGGTTTTTATTTCTGTTTCAAGGAAAAATAGGGCGCGTAGCCGCAAACCCCGCAATACAGCGGCGGCGGGTGGCGTGGCCGTAAGGGCGGTCAGGGCTCATGGCGCAGCCGGGACTCGACCCCTCCCCCACGGGGGCTACCCTTCGACTACTGAAGCCCAGTCCGGGCATTGACCATATATAGACAGAATGGGCGTACCTCACATAACAGCGCAGACCTTTGTTACCTGCTGGTATTCTTGACATTTGGTTTTCCACTCTTATGACCCATTCTGGCATTTTGAACTTTGTCGTTCCTATCCTCAGTCAGGCATAATCAGTTCAGTCATCAGTCAGACATTGATGATCAGTTCTGAACGTTCCGTTCCACCACATCGAAATGCAGCGAGTGAAAAGCTCTGGACACGCACGGCTGCGGTGCGGGAGTGAAACGTACAGCGAGGCCCGGCCCTGTGCTCCCGAGTGAGCTCAGTGCTCATGCCTCGCAAGCAAACAGTGAGCGAGCCGCCGCCTCTTAACGCGGCCAATGTATATAAATAACCTGCGCGACGGCAGTCCAGTACAGCCCTCTGCCGCCAGGCGGCGGCCGCCGCGGGAACTTTTCCTAAAGCACAGCGCGTGTCCCGCCTCCATGTCGAAAACCCGGCACGTCTCCGCCGCCATGTCACACTCCCAGCACGCCAGCCGAGGCCGCCGCGGCCCGGGTCAACACCCGCCCTCCACCCTCCCGGACAGCCCGCGGCGTCACGGCGAGCCGCCCGGTGGGTGGGCGGGAGCGGGGGGGGGGGGGGGCGTCATGCGTCACGGACGACCTGCGGGCGCCGCCGGCGGTCTGGGCGCCAGGGCGCACGGCCATACGGCGCTGACGACCGGCACCGGGCGGACCTCGGGCCCACTGTACTGGGCCTGGATCGTGCACACGTGCCTGGACCGCGCTCGCTGGGGCACCGGCGGCCGCCCGCAGGCTCTGTCGGCGCCCGAGCAGCACCGGGGGGGGGGGGGGGGGGCATGCCGCCACCACCACACACCATCCGCGGAAACAGCAACACCCGGCCCGCTCGGGCGCCATCTAGGCGCGTTGTTGATGTCGATAGCTATTGCAATCATGAGAGATGTCGCGCATGTTGCGACAGGACAAAACAGAGCGCACCTGGAACCATCTTTCCAGATCGGATGGCCTGCGGTCCCATACATGTGCTTCGGGCGAGTATGCGCTGCGTGGGTTATGCACAGTCATATGGAATGCCCTGCCAGGTAGGGATCCGGTTCAAACACATGGCTGCGATTCCGCTGAGCGCACCGCCTAGCTTATCGTGGGTGCTCCCGATCGACAAGAAAATCGTGATCATATCACCGCAGCGCTGCTTTACTAAGAGGAACAACCCGAAAACCGATTAAAAAGGGAAGGTTCGCACGCGAAATCCCCAAAATGTTTGTTGGGCGAAACAGCACGGTGTCCTGGGCTTAAGCGACCAACACCGCACGACCAGGTGATGATTTGGATGATAGGGCGGGCCGACAGCATGGGTCACTATGGCGCCCATCGCGAGGAGGCCTGGCCTCCAGCGCGTCTGCGCCCGCCGGAGCGAGCTCTCCCGCCCGGCGACCCCGCTCGACCGGCCGCAGCGCCGAGTCCGAGGGAGGCGGCGCGCGTGTCAGCCGGCGCCGCCACCCGGCCCGGCGCCGCCCGGACCGCAGCCATTGTCGACGAGCCCCGGCGCCCCACCTGCGGGTACGTGATGGGCGCCAGCTTCTTCTCCTTGAGCTTCTCGATGGTGTCCTTGTCCTCCCGCAGGTCCAGCTTGGTGCCCACCAGGATGATGGGCGTGTTGGGGCAGTGGTGGCGCACCTCCGGGTACCACTGCCGAGAGGAGGTGCGGGTCAGACGCGGCCCGACGGCACACAGAGACGGAGACGGCGTTCACCGCCGCCAGTCCGGTCCGGGGTCAGACACCGCCGCCAGTCCAGTCCGGGGTCAGACACCGCCGACACTCCGATCCGAGGTCAGACACCTCCGCCGCTCCGGTCCGGGGTCAGACACCATTGCCACTCAGGTCCGGGGTCAGACACCACCGCCACTCCGGTCCGGGGTCAGACACCACCTCACCCCGGTCTGGGGTCAGACACCGCCGCCAGTCCGGTCCAAGGTCAAACACCGTCAGCACTCCAATCTCACACACGACCTCAGACGGCACGTCCAGCCGGCCGGACGCCTCGGCTGCTGCGAGCGGCGGCTGCGCTATCCCTCACTGGAGGCACACTCTGCATATCCGGTGTGGCTATGATCCCGCCACAGAGCGTCCGCCGCTCCAGGTACCGTTAGGCGGCTCCAGCGGCCTGACCAGGTCGTCAGCGGGCCGCCCCACGCGGCCAGTCACACGGGTGCCAAGGTCACGAGCGCATACGCTGACAAACAGCTGGGGATACCGCGTGGCACGCGCACTGACAGAGAGCCATACTGGCCAGGGGTGCATTCATCACCATCGGGGCCGCAGCGATTCCAGAAAAATATAATTAATAAAGAGTAGGTTACATCAATAACTTACTTACGTCGCCAACGAGTCATAATTCACCACCAGCAAGTTACAAAGCGCACCAATCTCAATGCCAGGGAGACATGCTGATGGAAGGGACGCATATTGCGGTTCAACACAACATCACAACATCACACCTAATTTGCGGCTGAACACAACATCAACACACTCCTAAACGTCGAGCACCAGATCCGCCGCAACCTTCCCACAACCAGGCGTGGTGGGCTTCCTCCGCGGCGATGCGTCTTCTGACTCAGCCCACTCCCCCTGCCCGCCAGCGTCTGCCGTACCTTAGCCCGCACGTTCTCGAACGAGGCCGGGTTGACGAGGGAGAAGCAGATGAGGAAGACGTCCGTCTGCGGGTAGCTGAGCGGTCGCAGCCGGTCGTAGTCCTCCTGACCGGCCGTGTCCCATAGGCCCAGGTTGATCGGCTTGCCGTCCACCATGACGTTCGCAGAGTAGTTGTCGAACCTGCCAACAGAGCGGCGCCACCGTCAGACGAGTCCGTAGGCCGCGCACCGGCGCGCCCGAGGACGCCTTCTCTTTTTGTGCCACAGCGGAAGGAGAGTTTGGAACCAGGCTGGAGGAGGGAATACCGTTTTTTCAGGCGAGAATGCCGGCGTCATCCGTCCCGTCCCGAGGAAGTGAATAACACTTGGGTAAAAAAAATCCTTCCTGGAAGTCGACGCCACAGGCTATCGTGCCATATACATGCTGTATCATGTAATTGGTCATGTCACGACCGTCGAAAAACAACAAATACTTTAAAACGGTACCACTACCAGGAATACTGAGCGATGTACCGACGGTGCTGTGTTCGCTTTTTCCTTGCCGACGCGCCGCTTTCGCAGTTTTGAGGTATCTTCGAAGATCACACGCTAGAGTCCGAGGATGTAAATGTCGCGCGCACGGGGGATTTGCAAGGCTTTGACCATAAACATTTTCATCTTTTCATCCATATGACAAAAAAGAAGCAAAGCATATCTGACAGACGGCACGTAAATCACACCACACGCGAACATAGCGCTGGAATCGAGAGAACAAACATTTAAATCCCGCCCGCTGCTGTTCAGAGTATCCTCCTTGTGCCTGCGTCAGTCCTAACAACCCGGACTAAGACGCCCTTCCAACGGGTTCGTGACCACATTTTGCCGACCAAACAGACATCACGAGCGCGAAAGAGCCGCCGCCGCCCGTGGAGGCCCGACGGGCTTTGTTTCCGTCTGCCGGCGGACGGGGGCGCCGGCGGGGGGAGGGGTAATCTGCAGAGCACGCCACTTCCGGCGCTGCTACGCGCCGTGCGGCGCAGCCGGCGAGGCGCGGTGGGCCACGCCGGCGCCGCGTGCCGCCGGCTGCCGCGCGGGGCAAGCCCGCAGCCCGACCCCGCACGCTGTGGCCTCCCAGTGTGCAAGCATTTTGAGTGGAAAGCAGGCAGGAAATAACCAGCTGCAATAACAGTGTGCAACTGGGTAGATGGGAAAATGATGGGTCATGATGAATGGCAGATCCAGGGCTGACAATACTTCCATGACGAACTGCTCTAAACAGCTGACTGCAGTGACTAAAGCACACTGCTGGCAATTAAACCTGCTTCATTCCTCACAAACAAAATGGAGAATACACTCCATTGATAACGCATACATTGCACATCTTGTAAATGTCACAAAACCATATCATGTATTACAACACGCAATCTCCACACAACTCTACCACAAACATCCCATCCATATGCATCACCCACCATCCCACCACTCAACAACTCACTCGGCACCTCACCTTACATTAGCTGAACAATACCACAACTGCGTGTAGCCATCAACCACCTCTAACAGGTGTCACAGCCCATACTCACACTGTGGGGATGTACTCCCCGGGGAAGGCATTTGTTGTGTAGCTGATCAGCAGACATGTTTTACCCACAGCTCTGTGAAGAGAACCAACAGTTAAGTGAGGAGAAACATACAATGGTGCTGCTGAGTTCTGACAGATGCTGACACAGTGCAACACAAAGAACCAAGCTAATTTTGGTTTCTGCCATTCTGCTTTTCAAAACAATGTGACAACAGCCACTACTACAACAGAATAATACATCATCAATGGTAGTTGCTTCTATCCCATGATATGTGACGCTAAGCCCTATATTCTTGCAATCTGCCAGTTCTGACAGCGTATGGACCTCAGCTAGATACCCTTCGCTTGGGTGGGGGTCAATTTAACTCCCCTGAGATCTCGGGAACTAACAGAGCTAGACACCAAATTTACAGGGTGTGTTGACCTGTACATGAAATCACATGGGTCAAGGTTTCAGGTTCCTAGGTCATGACCCTTGGGTCAAAAAGGGTCAAACAAGGTCAATTCCAGGTTTGTCTCCAAAGTACCCCAGACCTTAGCTAACCATTTCTAAGGAAAAGGTCACATTCTCATTCAGGATCAGTGACCTTGTTTGATCTTTTGAAAGTCAAGGAGACCAAAATCATACAAGATTGCTCTTAGTTTCGCATTTTACCAGGCACCAAAGATTATGCTAGGCAGCATGTTCCTGAAACAAAATGTTGACCTGGGTCATTTTAGGCCAGTGACCTATTCTGACCACTACAAAATCCATGGAAGATGCATAATGCAGTTCCTGCTATTGATAAACTTGAAATGAGCACCAGAAACTATCCCATACAGTAGGCCCTACAGCAACAAAACAGGCTTGTTATGACCTTGGTGTGGCCTTCATACCTGACCCTAGGTCAATGTAACTTGCACATTCAACTGCTGTGTTGCCTAAAAAAGCATCTCAGAGATGTGTAGCTTTGTCTAACACTCTGTTGTTGGATCAGATTGAAGGGTTCCCAAGAAATTGCCTTTGTTGAAACCATGGCCTGATTTGGACCTGCCACAGGTCAGCAACCTCACAAAGCACATCTAAATTTTTTATGCCAAACAATCTGCTACTGAACTGTCTACAGCTATGCAAAATTTGGTGCTGCGTAGCCGCACCGCCGGGAAACCATTCTGGAAAAACCTTCGGGCAGGGTCAATTTGACCCCATCCCCACCCAAGTGCATGTTAATGTTGACTTGCTACATTCAGATATGTGCTTTGAGGACTAAAGAATAACAGGAGAGGTCAAACAACAACACAAAGCAATAAAGATACAATGCAAATTTTTTCCAGCTCTCAAAATCAGGAGGGATAAGCCACAACCAAAAATGTATGGCATTGACTTGTGATATCATATGCCCCCTTTGTGACATTCCACAGCATCACACTTCAGCCTGACTAACTTTGCACACATTTAGCAGCAAAACAAGCATTACAACATCACACCATAAATAAAACTTGGTGATTTCATGAAAGCAGATGCACTAAACTATTATTGCACAGAAAGGGGTAACTTTGTCTTGAATGCAAATGATGGACAGATTCATGTCATATTGACTAAGCTATTTGAGGACTAACTCATTGAGTTTGGTCCAACTGTTTAGAGTATTATGTTCTAGGAGCTTATCTGCTATGTATTCTTGGGAAAACAAGCAAATCACCATCAAATCAAATCATCCTGCAATAAACTCTCTGCCATGAGGGCCTCCAACTGTCCCAGCCATTCACTGAACAAATTACCTACTTCCATATGATGCTTCCGAATATGTGGATCTCAAATTAATTATTTCTTGTAAGAGGTGTATAATAAACTACAAGAAAAAACAAACATTACATATAACAAGTTACATAAAGGGATGTTGATAATATATATATATACATATTATATGCAAATATACAAATCTGTGGTATCAGAATCATAGAAAAGTACTGTGTTCACAGAATGATATCACACTTGAAAAAACAAATTTTAGGTTTATACCAATAAGGCATGATTTGCAAGGGCATGATTACAAATGCAGGGTAAAATGATGATTATCAAAGGTACTTGAACTGACAAAGCACCCGTGAAGATACTCAATGTAGCCTGTAAACTACAGCCTTGCATTCCAAACATGCCTTGGTGAGGAAAATAATTGCATTGCTTTACTGCTACTTTTAGCAGAAGACTAGACTATTTATGCTTTTCATTATTATGTATTATCCATGCATCATTGCTATATATTTTTACTTAAGTGTTATGTTGCAAAAAGGATTTCACACACAAACCAGCTCTCTTAACTAAAATAATTTTATGGAACTACCTACTCACAAATACATTCTAATCCAGGAAATGCATGATCTGTAGAGGTGATGTTAGTCAACTAGCACTGCCCCTCCCCCATTTCAACACTAGTCTGCTCCAGGAAAATTATGGCTCCACAACAAATAAACTTCTCTCCATGTATCCCCCATGGCCTGATTTGCATTATTTCAAGTCACACTAGAAATTCTGCCACCCTGATATTTTTGGTCTCATGTCATTGCCCAGGTTTAAAATTGCAAGAATTAATAACAGTTCAATGCATACAATATTGCACTTGAAAGATGGATACATGCAGAAGCTGTTTCACAACAATTAGCCTTGTGGTGGAGATCGGCATCAAAGCTATGATGCAGAATGCTGGTATGTTACCTTCTTCATGCTGCTAACTTTAACAGTACTTGTCATAGCATCCAGGTATAGCACCACCTGGATGGACACTCCAGGGTGTTAAATGTGGTCTCAATAGCATGAATATCAGGTGTGAACTGCCCCAGCTGTTCAGTGCCATTCATGAATGAACAATGCCAAGATTTTTGCTGTTTTGCAAGCACTGTGTCATTGTTTGAATGGAAGTGTTCAACTGCTACCTAAATTTTTAAACCAGTGCAGATTATGTACCATTTCCTGCAATGAGCCCAAGACATGCATTATATAAGTAATGCCGTCAATGCTCCCAAGGCTTTTAAATAAAGGATTAGGCAAAAAATATCATGAAGTCCACTCACACACAGTACGGCAATTTGAGTCACACCCAACCACAATTGCCGCGACCCCGCCTTGGCAGCCGATTCCATCATCAATCTTCGTGAAAAGCCTTACCCGTCTCCGACGACTACACATTTGATCGCCTGCATTGTCGCAGATTAAATGCTGTAGATTACCAAACTAATGACACTAATAATTATAAATATCAGCACCACAAGCACACAGCCCAACAGGCTACCAGCACGCCGGAATTGCCGCGTCTGGGTAGGCATCAAGGCCTGAGAATACGCGGAACTAGGATGGTAGTCATAAATTGGCTGCCACTGTTCTGTCCAAATCGCCGATAGCTAATACAATGTAAATCGCTAGGGGACTACAAGATATCGAATAAATTTATTCAGTTGCAGTAGCACAGGCAAGAGGTGAAACAGGGGCACATGCCCCTCTCTTAGGGTCTGAGGGGCCCTTGGGCCCCTCGGAACCTGCGATTAGGGGCCCGATTTGAGACCCGAAAAACCAAAAAGGCCGGTCCGAGGTCCCACGCGGCAGCCCCGGCCCGCAGGGCCAGGCACTCCAATGCCAGCCAGAAGGACTTGCGTGCTGACTAGGGGCCCACTAAGTCGATAAGGACCTATATTTTGGTCAAACACCACCAGTAACGCTCATTCGGCTCTGCACCGGAATGGGCATAATGACCCATTTCCCAAACAGGAACAAAGCAGGAGCCAGCGATTTGCATTGTTCAGGACCCCACAGCACCTAACAGAGGCCCTGTGTTGCCAAGGAAACCTGAGTCGGCCAGAGACAGTGTTCGAGGGGGCCCGAAAAGCTTAGAGGGCCCGCCGGGTCCGACGATCAGGGGCGCGATTGGAGAGTCTAAGGGTATAAAGGGCTAGTGGTAGTGGTATACGGGGGTCCTGGCCTGCGAAGGCGGTTCTTCAAATAAGCGGTCAGAGGACCCTTTGCGCCGATCGAGGAAACCCTGAATCGATACAGGCCTATGTGTCCGTCAGGCACCACCAGTACCGCACAGTCGGCTCCTTGTCGGCATGGGACTGAGCGCCCACTTCGCAACTAGCTCTGAAGCCGGGGCCAGTGATTTACACTGGTCAGGAGCCTTGTATTTGCAAAGGACCCAAAGTGTCTAACAGGGATCCTGTGCTCGCACGTTCCCCGAGCCAACCAAGGAAAGCATCCGACGAGGCCCAAAGGGGGGCCCGGGCCGCACACTGGAACCGACGATCAAACGCGCGGTTGGAGGGCATAAGGGCCCGACGGACTGGCTGTAGGTCACATAAAGAATCGCAGCCCATAGGGATAAGCGCCTGAGGTATCAGTTAGGGGCCCTATTTTGCCGTTTCAGGGACCCTTGAGACAATACGGGCGTCTAAGTCTGTGAGAGACCGCGAACATCGAACAGTCAGCTCCATGTCTGTCTGAGTCCTTGAGACCCATTTCCCAAGCAGAAACGAGGCTGAGGTCCCCGATTTGAAATGTTCAGGGTCCCTGACACAATAAGGAGCTCCTGTATCGGTTAGGTGGCACAGTGCCGAACAGGTGGCCCCGCAAGCAAGTGCTGTGCCAGCAAGTGCCACTCCTGTGCCAGCAAGTGGCTCCGAGTCAGAGCGGTGTTTGAGGGGGCCAAAGAGGTGCCGAAGGGTATCTCGAGGCCAAAGATCAAGGGCCCGATGGGATGGCTGAAGGGCTCGGAGGGCTGGCTGCAGGTCACATTAAGGGCTCACGCCCATAGGACCGCGATCTCAAATGTCGATATGATAATCTCATGCACCGGTAGGGACACCAGAAAAAGAGAGTTCCTCTATTTCGGCCAGAGATCACGAACAACGAACAGCCGGTTCCGTGTTGGTCTGAGCTCTGGAGACCAATTTCCTAAACAGGAACAATGCCGAGCGCACAATTTACATTGGTCAGGCTTCTGTATCGTTCAGGGGTTTGCAGTGCCTAACAGGGCATTCTGTGTCAACAGGAGGCATCGAATCGGTCTGGGGAAGATTTGCTCAACAGGGACGGAGACGGGAGCCCGAATGGCAGAGGATCTCTCGCCTTGGTCGGGGCCCTTTGTCAATCAAAGAAAGCAAAAGGACTTATGATGTTTGCTCGCAGTGAGGCAATAGAAGGGTTTTGTGCAGGTCAGGGTGCCCAGTACCGAACGGGGGCCCCTCCAACCCTATTCCAGAGTGGAAACATTTGCGTTAATGACGGTTCATGTGTCGATCCGGGGTCAACAGCGCGGGTCAGAAGGCCATCCGCGTCAGGAAGCGGACCAATGTGATACGACATATCCCTATAAGGGTCTCCGGATCGGCCAGAGGATGCTGCCCCGTGTTGCCAGAATGACGGCCGGAAAACACACCGTGGTGGGACAGAAGGGCCCCCCCCCCCCAGCCATTGACCGTAAACGACTCTGGTCCGGTGGTGCTGTACTCAAGAGGGCCCCCTTGCCGGAAATAAGGGGGCACCATGTGTCGAATGGAGTGAGTCGAAATGGGTTCAAAACACGTAAGACCATCCCGTGTTTCTCTGAGAACGTTCATTATTTTGCAGAATCGACTGGTGAAACAAATAACATCAAAGGGTTTGAGCCTGCGCGCTGGGTGCCGATAGTGCAGTGGTTAACGCGACCGCGTTACCACTGTGCGTCTGGGAAACCACAGACATCGGGTTCGATTCCCCACGGTGCCCGCCCTTCCCGCCAGTGTGAGAGGCTGGCGACGCCTTAAAGTCCCAGCAGCTGAGTGCGTCATAAAACCCCAATAACACGCCCGTAATCTCGCGGAACAGGAATAGCGACGACTTAGGTTGCGGTTTTCGTAAAACCAAATGACGTTGGCCACTGCAAGTAATGCCAGGGAGCGACCGCCGTGTGTGCAACAATGACCACCGTAAAATGATATTCCGGATGCGTTTCAAAATTGATTTTCATTGTTCAAAGATTGCACTCGGCGAATCTTTTTACAACTCAGAGGCGTACTATGGACAGATTAAAAGTAACAGCAACACGGGAAATAGAGATTCTACCTTTACTTTTCCAGTTTCACCGTCCGATTGCAGCAACACTTCGCCGCGCTGTGAAGACTACACGTCATTGTCATCAATCCAAAAACCGCACAGGTGAAATATACTTGCAGAATGTCTCTAAATGTACCATTTGGTGTCAAAACCCTTCGAAAGTTCTTCTTTCAAATGCGTCATTATTTTCGTCCACCTGTTGGCTACATCTTAATGCTAGCCGCGGGAGCAGCGCAGCCGGCTTAAGGAGACTGCAACGCCTGACGTCGCTGTTTTGTTGCGAAGATACGCTAGCGCGCATGTTCAATATATATATATATATATATATATATATATATATATATATATATATATATATATATATGCAATCTAAGGAATCCTGTCCTCATTAAACAAATGGGCCATACATCCGCTGACTTTTTGGAGGGCCGTTTTACTATCAGGAGCCCTTTGTCAACATTGCGCCACCCTTGCCAGAGCTCTGGCTGCACCCGTGTTCACTTGCAGCCATTAGATAACGCAGAAACCAAGCTGATGAGAGATGAGGAATGACATGTTAAGTGTGACCTTTGATCTGAGAAATGCACGCAATCAAATTTCTCGGGCAAATTTATAAAAAGCTGATTCTCCTGAATTTTGACGGATCTTGTGCAAGGGTGCAGCCAGAGAACTGGTAAGGGGGGAGAGAAGGTGTGCACGGGAGTGATAAAAGACAGCCTGCGGCAAGAGGCCTCTCTCCTCGCGTTTTAGTTCACTTTGTTCCCTGAAACAAAAGCGAAGAGCTATGGCAATATGCAGCATTTTGGCGCTCAGAAGTCAATTATACAAAGAAACCAGGACATTTATAGCGCATTCGTTCGAGCAAAATTACTCGAAAAATTAAAGCAACAAAATGATGCAATTGAAGATCAATTATTTCTCCAACAGCCATTCACGAATATTCTAAATTTACGTTCGGCCGGTTCGGAAATCACCCCTCATATTTGTCTTCTATGCACCACATACAGCCAACGGTCATAACTATGGATGGCGAAAAAAGATTCTCCGTCCTGATCATGCCCTGAAAATTTCCGAGATTCTGCTTAGTTACGGAAATTATGAAGAACAATTTTGCGTGTTGGCAGTGCCAAACACCATTCCGGATTTGTTTTCCCAGCATTCCGGATATTTTTCCGTGATCATCGGCTGACCGCACGCGCCATTAATGACTCCATCCAAAATGCCTTAGTGAAATGGTTACATCTCATAAACCACCAACGTGCTATTCACTTTACAAGGGCTCATTGAATCTTGATAAAACAATATCATTCAGGAGCTTTGCCGGATTTTTAGGGCTTCTAAATAGACTAGACCAAGTGCGGGAAGACACACATTTGTTGACGTATTTTGGGGTGGGTCGAGTCGTTTTTCGCGGTTCAGTCCCCCCCCCTAACCCCATTCCAACTCCTTAAGTACATCCACGCCCTTGATTTTGAAGGAAGTCCGCGCCGTGTATTCACCTGCATAGGAATAAATTGGCATCGAGATCACCACGAGCCTTTGACGTAATGATGAAATGTCTACTCTTCGTGTTCCGGAGCCAGTCATCTGTTGAGGGCGATGTCAAAATTATATAGATAAAGTGGACACGTCAGTCTACCTTTTGAACTGGTTCCAAGAAACTTTCGGAAACATTATTCCCTTACTCGTGATCGCTCCCACGCGACCCAGCGTCGCGTCCGTTGACCCCAGCGGCCATCGCCACGCGATTCTGAAAAAGTAGGGGCGTCCTGGGACAAATATTTGTCGCTGATAACAGTACAAATGATCTATCCCTCTTCTTTCGACTCCATTTAACACCAAAGAGGCCCGTACCTTACCTGCGCAGGAGTTCCTGGGGGCAAGAAACAAGGAGGTGATCATCTTTCTCGGTTAGGGACCGAATAGTTTTTCCTCCTAACCCCGCGTACATACCGGCTCTCATTTTGACGACGCGGGGTCCGGGGTTCCCTGGAGGATCCGATGGCCTCTAGGGAATGCGTCGCACACAAACACACAAACACACACACACACACACACACACGCACACACACACACACACACACACACACACACACGCACACACACACACACACACACACACACACGCACACACACACACACACACACACACACACACACACACACACACACACACACACACACACACACACACACACACTCCCCTGACGTGGCAGGATCT